GCCGTCAGATTGCCAGATCTTGAGCTTCTTCCCAGATTGCCGCTCCGCATGCGCTAGCCAGAGGCGAAACACCTCGTAGGCTCTGTCGCGCGACTCCACGTTCACGACCCACACGTAGCGTGTTCCAGCGTCGATGAAGGTAAGAGTGTATAGCTCGTCCTAAACTCCGCAATTTCCCACGTTCAGGAAATCGCTGTACACCTTGTGCAGCTTGGGGTAGCGGTTCGTTCCAGGTTCGAGCAGCGGGAACGGTTGGTGGCTCAGCGCAGCTTCGGGGCAGACGGTGCAGTTGCGCGGATGTGTCGCGCCACTCACTTCGGAGCCATCAGGGCGCAGGAGTGCGCCAGGAGCGAAGACGCCTGCGTCGATGCAATTTTTCAGCGTCGCGCGAGAAGGGTGTCCGAGGCGCTGATGCCAGAGGGCATCGTCAGCGCGAAAGCCGGAGGTGCGCATGTAGCGCGCGCGCGCTTCCTCAGGGTCTTCGTCAGGTACGGGAGCAGGTTCCGCTGCTACTTCCTCTGCTTCTTCTTCTTCTGCCGCGGTAGTCAGCATCAGCGCCTGAAATTCTCTATCGCGGATCTCGGAAAGTGGGATGTTGGTCCCGGGAATAGTGCCAGGGACGAGGGTTGGTTCGCGTGGCTCGGGGGCAGGTCCGTAGACAGTGCGGCGCGGGGTTGACGGCTCGTTGCCCCAGATGATGGTGTCCCATGGATCGCGGCGCGGGGGGTTGTCAGGAGGAGGTAGTGCGAGTGGGACGTGGCGCGGGGGACGACCGAGAGGAACGACTGCAGGTGTTGCCTCAGTTTCCTCGGCTTCATCTTCTCCCCCCTTTCGTTCTTCGCGGAAAGTACCCCAGCCGCTGTCGTCGGCGCCTGGTGCGGCGCCCCATCCACCGCTCGCAGTAGCCCAGGTTCCGCCGTTGTCGCCTGTTCCCCTGCCGCCAGCACTTCCCCACCCCCCTTCATTGGAGGCGCTCGCTTCCTCCTCAGCTCCCCAGGCGGCGCAAGCGAAGGTCCCGCGGGCTTCCGCGAGGCTTTGCTGGCGAAGCTCCTCGGCTTCGCGGCGCGCCAGTTCCTCCTCTTGCTCCACGGTGAGCTTCTTTTTCGAGTCGCGCTGGGTCGAGTAGACGTCCAAGAATTTCTCGTAGGTGTAGGGGCGCGGCTCGCCAAGGGCATCAAAGGTCCCGACCCCAGTTCCGCGCAGCATGCCTTATAGGTGCTGTGAGGGGGGACCGATGAGAGGATGCTCCTTCGTGCTAAAAACGACGTGGGTAGCAACTTCAAGTTCGAGCTGCGACATCCCTTCCTCGGGGGGCGCGTTGCGCTCTGCTTCAGCGATGGCGGCAAGTCCGCGGCCCGCAATCGCGCTTGTTGAGGTCGTCGGCGTGTGACAATCCCTGCAGATTCCATCTGGATCGGGGTTGTGAAGTGCCGTTTCGCGTGGGTGGGGATGATGCGGCACCCACGGTCTGCCGTCAGGGTGCTTCCAATCCCTGCGGTGGATGTGCTCGAAGCGCAGTGGCACGAGGTCAATCAGCTCGTGCGAGTCGCCGCTGCAGTCGGGGATGTCAAAATCCAGGACGTATACTCCATTTTCGGAGTGCGCTCGTCCGATCTGCCTGCGGGGGAAGTTGCGTGCTTCGTAGTGCAGCAGGATATCTCGCGTTTCGCGGTCCGTGCTGAGGTCGACGCCGCAATCCATGAGCTGTGCGGCGGACAGAAGGTTGAAGCGCAGGTTCTGGACGATCAGCACATCATTAAGCGTGATGTGCGTGCGGCTTCCGCGTGCTTTGAGCATGACGATGCCTTGCGCGCTTGCGCGCAGGCGCGTATTGTTCGCCACAGTGACGTAAGTGACGGTAGGGGTGGGGACGGCGTTGGATATGTAACGCTCGGACCCCACCATGTGCTGGCCGCAGCAGCTATCCAGGTACCAGGTGTTGTAGCGCTTGTTGTTGTCACGTGCGAGCAGCGCCAGTCGCGGCGTGACGATGTGCGGAGTATCGAGCTTGAGAAATTGCTCGCGCGTGAGCCAATCAAGTGGCGCCACCCGCATATCAGGTACGTGCGGGGGACTTTCAAGCAGCGGGGACAGGAAGATTCCAGTCCTAGTCATTGTCGTCGGTGAAATCGTGGCGCGGACTGAACGGATTGTTGTTGGTGAATGCGCCAATGGGGTGCGGTGCCGGCTCAGGTGAAGGTGAGCGCACGCGGCGACGACGCGATTCGCCTGTCATGGCCATGTTGCTCATGACGTTGCGAACTGGGGCAGTCGATGACGGCTGCTGCTGCTGATGCTGAACCGCTGGGTTCAGGTTGCGCGCGGGAGGGGGCTGATACCCCTGGGCTGGACGCACGTCGCCTCGTGCGTCTTGACGGCCGGACCAGGTGCTCGGATTGGTCTGGCGAGGGCGAGATCGGTTCTTGCATCGATCCGCCAGATGCCCGAAATTTCTGCAGATTTTGCAGTAGAGGCGCCGTGGCTTTAGCTCTTCGAGGTTGTCGGCGTAGAAGGCGAGCCGTTCGCGTTCTCGTCGCGGCGCTGGTCGCTGCTGATCCATATCCCTCTGTTCGACGAGAAGGGCGGCGCAAAGGGCGGCCTCCGAGATGACCCCCTGCTGTCGGAGAAGCGCCTTGCAGGGCCGCCACTCTGGGCCGAGCCCTTGAAGCACGATGTTGACGAAAATTTCTTCCGATATCGTGCTTCCCAGCTTCACGATTTGATCGCGAAGGCTCCGACAGCGATTAAGGTAGTTGTTGACCTTCTCCCCTGAGGTCATCTTGGTTTCCCGTAGTTCCTGGAGCAGTCGGCTCGAGGAGACGGAGTCCTTGGGCTGATACACGCCTGTCAGGTGTCGCCAGGCGTTAAGGGCTGGAGCAGCTGAGGTCTTGTACGAACGAATGTTGAGCTGCTCCGCCGCCGACATATTCCGCAGGAGCACCCCGTACGCCATCAGCGATTCGTTGTAATACCTCGCCTTGGCGTCGTCGGTGTCCTCAGCAGGCTCCGCGTAGCTCCCGTCGAAGTAATGGAAGATTTGGGCGTTCTGCAGCAGGAGCTCCAACTCGAAGCTCCAGGTGTAAAAGTCTCTGCCGTCAAAGCAGGTACTTGTCTTTATTTTTGATATGCTGAGAAACCTTGATTGAGCGGAGAGAATTGCCTCTTCACTGGGACGGGGAGTCTTGGGGGTTGAGCCATTGGTGTCGAGGGAGAATGTTTGCGGGGTGGCGTTCTGGCCAGTCGGGGCCGGTTGAGAGGGTTGCGAGGATGTTCCCGCATCGCCATTCCGCAATGTTTGGAGTCCTTGCTCCAGGCTGGTGAGTCGCTGAAGGAGTTGTGCGAGAACTTCGGAGTTGATTGTCGTCGTGTTCTCGCTTGTCGCAGCCGGGTTGGGTTGCGCTTCAGCCGTCAGATTGGTCTGACCACCAGATCCTCCGGCCATCTTCACACGCGAGCGTGTGCCGGACGCCACTTTCCGAATGTCGCAATTTTCGGGAGTGGCAGTGCGAAGGATTCCCGAGCCGCTCTCATACCATGCTGCGATCAGAAGTTGATCGTGGCCTAGGATCTACTCAGGAAGGTTCGCACGTAGTGAGATAGTGTTGGTGGGCCCTTTGACCTCAATAGCAGAGTGAATGTAAAATGCTTTGAGATGATTAAAACATGCAAATACAAGAAATATAAATATGAGTACAGGGAAGACGAAACGACCTAGCTAGCCATGTACTCTAAAGGGTACATTCCCTTATTCAAATACATTCCCAACCGTGCGGCGCGTACAGTTTCGTAACTGTTCCCGCCAAAACCACTCTGCCTGCTACTGCCCAATGCCGTCTGCTCCGACGGTCTAGATGCGTCCCAACTGTCTGGCGCTTCGAGTCAATTCCAACTGTCTGACGCTTCGCGTTCATTCTCGATACTGCGTGCTTCTCTTTGCTGCGGTGAGGAGTGCACAGTAATATCAAATATTACTATTCGTAACAGTTTCTGTAAGCCGTACTTATGCTAAAAAACAAAACTTACACAATCAGCGTAGTTTCTGTAAGAACGCTGAATTTCAGCGGTTTTTTCTTAGGTAACTCTGATTGTCAGTGTTTCTTTCCGTACCAATGCTGACGGATCAGCCTGGTTCAAAACGAATCTAGGGGCAGGAAGTTCCTGCCCTTTATGGGCTGATCCGATAATGCTGCTGCTGTTGCTTCGGTGGTGGCAGGTGCAACACTGCTGCAACTTTGGGATTGCTAAAGTTAATTCCCGCTTACTCCACCATGTTACCTTTTCCAAAATGCTTTCGCTATATCGCAATTATCTCATTTCTTTGCTCATTGTCTTGTTTGCTTCAATAGTGCAATTTTTGTTAGCTCACTCAATTGCACACATACCGTAACAACTTTCAAGAGTTATAGTACACTAATTAGAGTCAATGATTGAGGACTTCCATGCGTCCACTTGTGCAGGTTTGCTGCTTCAAGGTTCGTTTGATTCTGCTCACGCGGCAGGCCTATGGGCACTGTAGTAGATCTGGTTACTGGACGCGCGATACACGTGTCAGACGACCGACCGAACTGGAGGTCTTGGGGGTGTCCTGTCGTGTCGTGTAGCCTCGAAAAGCTCCCTCCCTCTCAACTACCCTTCGTGACAACAACCCTCTGTTTCGTTGTCCTTCCGCTTACCTCAGCAGTAGGCAAGGCAACAAGCATCAACTTGTGTTTCTTGCTAGACTATTTTCTTGACTTTGGTTTCGCCTCTATCATCCTCTCCACCGCAGCCAGCTATGCGCCTTCCCCGCTCAGCCACGCCCCGTAAACGCCGAAGTAAGCGCTTATGTTTGAATTGAACGATACTACTCGCGTGCCCGACTCCCAGGTCCCCCAATCGCGGCGCTGACCTCACCGATTAGGATGACACTACTAGCGACGCAGCCGCGGTGAGCCAGCGGCTGACGGCCGTCGGCGGAGCGGTTCCGCGAGTCGATCTGCGCTGCGCTTTCCCGCGCCATGATGTCGGCGTCGCGCACAGCGAGGCGGGGCGGCGCGCGGCAGGAGGAGAGCTCGAGCCGGGATGCTGGGGGAGGCAGGGGGAGGCGGCGGGGAAGGGGCGCGCGAGGGCGCGGGCAAGGCCGAAGCAGCAGCAGCAGCAGCGCGCGGGGCGCTAGTAGGGGCGGTAGGATGGACGATGACGGTCCGGTGACCGCGGAGCAGATACTGCTGGGGGGAAAGGCGCTGGGACTGGCGCTTTCGGGCAGAGGTCGGGGGAGAGGCGGAAGCGGAGGGAGGGCGCGGGGCGGAAGGGGTGGGGGAAGGGGAGTGGCGGAGAAGAGAGGCAGGGGCAGTCTTGAGGGGAAGGAACGGGAGGGGGAGATGGAGGGAAGGGGGCGTGGGAGGGGGGGAAGAGGAAGAGGAAGGAGCAGAGGAAGGGGACGAGGCAGGGGCGCAGTAAGGGGTAGGGGTAGGGGCGTGGGGAGGGGAAGGGGAAGGGCGATGGAAAGGGGAAGGGGAAGGGGACGGGGACGGGGAAGGAGCAGTGGTCGGCGAGAGACTGTTGAAGAGGACTCTGATTCAGATGAAATACAGGGGAGGAGGAGGAGGAGGAGGAGGACGAGGAGGAGGAGGAGGAGGAGGAAGAGGAGGAAGAGGAGGAGGAGGAAGAGGAGGAGGAGGAGGAGGAGGAGGAGAAGGAGGAGGAGGAGGAGGAGGAGGATGAGGAGGAGGAGGAAGAGGAGGAGGAGGAAGAGGAGGAGGAAGAGGAGGAGGAGGAAGAGGAGGAGGAGGAGGAGGAGGAGGAGAGGAGGAGGGAGGAGAGGAGGAAGTAGAGGGAAAGGCAGGAAGAGGAGGGGGGGGGGGAAGGAGGGGGAAGAGGACCATGCCAAGAGAAAAAAGGCCAAGGATGTCAAGATGGGGCGAGAAGAGTGCGAAAAAATGGAGGTGGCGAGGGAGCAGCAGGGCGAGGGTGCGCGTGGCGTGCTTGGGCGTGAGATGCCGCCGCGTGGGGGGCATGGCGCTGCTGCTGAGGGGCTGGGCGCTGCCGCTGGGCGCGCACTGGCAGGCGCAGGCGGGAATGTGAAGAAGGGGGACGGGCATGGGGGGGAAGACGCGGAGGAGGAGGGGAAGGAGGAGGGGAAGGAGGAGCACGAGGCGGAGACGGGAGCAGGGAAAGTGAAGGGGCATGGCGATTCAGGTGCGGACGCAGAAGCGAGGGGTGAGAAGAAGACGATGGGGGGGGGTGTGGGTGGCAGTGGCAGTGGGTATAGGCGAGGCAGGAGGGGGTCTCAGCCTGTTGTTGGTAGGCGTGAAGCGGAGACACGGCATGGGATGGAAACTGGAACTTTGAAGTGTGGGGAAGAAGGAGAGGGGGGACATAGGGAGGATGATGATGATGAGGAGGAGGAGGAGGAGGAGAGTGACTGTGTGGTGCGTCCGAAGGAGGGGAGTGGTGGTGGAGGGAAGGTAGTGGTGAGCGCCGTGAAGATTAAACTGGGGAGGTTCAGTGCACGGGAGGAGGACGAAGAGAGGGGGGGATTGGGAGGTGCGGATGGGGGGGTGGGTGGCGGCTGTGGTGTGAAGGAGGTTGGCGCGAGGCTGGTGGTTACTGGAGAGCAGGGTGCTGACAGTGCCGCCGCACATGGTGCTGCTGCTGCCACTACTGCTGTAGAAGACACAGCAGCAGCAGCGGCAGCAGTCCCTGCAGCAGCAGCAGCAGCAGCAGCAGCAGCAGCAGCAACAGCAGCAGCAGCAGCAGCAGTCCCTGCAGCAGCAGCAGCAGCAGCAGCAGCAGCAACAGCAGCAGCAGCAGCAGCAGGTGCATGTGCGAGCGCGAGGGTGCCAAAGCGGTGTGACTGGAGCGACATTCTGCAGCGGTCAACGCGAGTGGCGCGCGTTGCCAAGGGTGGCAGCAGCAGCAGGCCTCGTGCTCTGGGATCTGTGGCGCGCGCGTGCAGAGGGCCGTGGGAAGCGTATGATCTGCCCTCGCCCCGCCCTGCTGCTGCTGCTGCTGCTGCTGATGGCGCTGCTGGTGAGGAGGAGGGTGCTTGTGCTGGCGGGGTTGGTGGGGTGACTGGAGAGGTGAAAGCTGAGGGGGATGCGGAGGGGTTTGGAGAGGTGAAAAAGGAGGCGACTGCAGAAGATGGTTTAACGAAGGATGGGCAAGAGGAAAAATCTACGGGTGATGGGGAAAGGGTAGGAATGAAGGTGAAGGAAGATGAGCCGTGTGAAGGGGAGAAGGAGGATGAAGTGGGGAAGGGGCAGTGTGAAGATGGGAGAGAGAGGGGCAGCGAAGGGGGAAGGAGAGGAAGAGGGAGGGGAGCAGTGGGTGCAAGGTGGAAGAGAGGTGGGGGTGGGGACAGGGGAAGAGGGCGAGGGGTTGGGAGGGGAAGCGGGGGCAGGCAGTGTGGCGGTAGGTGGGGAGCAGGCAGGGTTTCAATAACGGAGGAGCCAGAGGAGAGTGAGATGCAGGAAAAGGAGGGTGAGGAGGACCCGCATGGGGAAGGCGCAACGCATGTGAGTGGCAAGGGGTTGGAGAGGAAGGAAAGCGGGAATCTAAAGGCAAGTGATGCGTGTGCAACGAGGGAGGGAGTGACGGGTGCGGAGGAAGGGAGGCGGAACGAGTGGTGCAGCGGGGCAGGTGGTCTCTGGTGGTACGCAAGGTGCTGTGCACTGTGCTGGGGACCAGTGCCTGGATGCAACCATGCGTGTGGAGGAGGCGGAGGAGGAGGATGGAGAAGGAAGGAGAGGGCCAGGGTGGAGGGGGGGAGGAAGGGCAGACAAGGCAAGGCGGGGAGGAGTGTGGAGAGCAGGGCGTGTTGAAGGACCAGGAGCGGCATGGGGAAGGGCATGAGAATGAGAGCAGCTCTGCAGAAGGTGGTGCAACGGTGAGTCTCACCACCGAACATGACATGTTGCTGAGTTGGCTTGAGCAGCTCTGCAGAAGGTGGTGCAACGGTGAGTCTCACCACCACAGCTTGAGTTGGCTTGACGCAGCTCTGTTTCGAGCCAACCGGTTCCCCTTGGGCCGTCCCGGTCCCGCAAGCTCTTTTTCTATTTATGCTTCAATTCGAACTGACTGTGGCTCGTGTTGAATCGATCGGTTCGGTTCGGTTCGGTTTGGTTCGGTTCAGTTGGGTTCATGTCAAGTACATGTAGGTTTGATGCGATTTCGGTTCGCACCGAACCTCAGGAAGGAGCTTCGGTGCGGAAACCTGCGCGTCCTTCTGTTTCCAAATCGCGCGGTTGGAGCTGGACAGGGCAAGGGATCATATTGAGCTTTTCAGCATGGGAACATGAATGGGGACATAAGTACATCATACATAGGCACTTGCAGTCTTGGACGGACAGAGCCAGAACAACTTGTTCGAGCTGGGCCATCACGACACCGTTCCACACAAGTTGAGCCAGGCACAAACTCTTACTCGCCCTGTGCTCCATCATGCGATTATGCATGATTGCCCACCAAAGTGCTCTCCTCTCAATCCCCTCCCTTCCATTTCCTTCCCCCCCCCGCCCCTGCCCGCTGCCTCTCCATGGCCTGCTAAACAGAAAACCCCGTCAAGCCCACGGAGTGATGGCAGCAGGAAGGCGTGCAGGGCCCATTCTCCAGGGCGCACTGTAGGTGACTCCCACGAGGAGAAAGGGCCGCACGGGGGGCAAGGGGGGGATCTGGGAACCGGGCAGGGGCAGCAGCAAAAGGAGAGCACAGGAGGTGGTAATATCAAGGGTGGAGGAGATGAGGGGCGTGTGCAGGGGCAAGAGCGTGACGGCGCTTGCAATGACAATGACCCTCTTGTGAAGGACTCGCCTGGCACGCCTCTGTGTACAGCTATGGACCTGCTATGCCCTACCACTCTCCCCACATCCTCTTGCTGCTGTTGCTGTTGCTGCTGCTGCTGCCCCCCATCCGATGCGCGCCTCCCAACCCTCCCCTCCGCTGTCTGCATCACACTCTCCCCCGGCGTCTCCCGCATCATCTCTTTCACTGGGCTGTGGAGCAGCAACAGTGGCACGGATGGGAGCTGCGGGTAGGGCTGATGCAAAGGGCGGTGAGGGAGGGAGGCTGGCGGAGGGAGCAACAGCTGTTGGAGAAGTTGCTGATGCAACTGCTGGACAGTCTGTTGCTGCCATTCCTCCTGAAATGTCTGCTGCTGCTGCTGCTGCTGCCGAGACTGCTTCTGCTGCCGCTTCTGCTGCTGCTGATGCTTCTTCTGCTTCTTCTTCTGTGGCGCCTCCTCCTCCTGCCACTATCACTGTTGCTGGTGCTTCGCCTGTTGATCCTTCTCCTTCCACTGCTACTCAAGCTAGGGTTCCTTCTATCCTCCTCCTCCTCCTCTTCCTCCTCTTCCTCCTCCCGCTCACCCCGCTCCTCCTTCTCCTCCCCACCTTCCACTACCTCCTCCTCTTGTTTCTCTTGCCGCTGCTTCGTCTGGTGACGTTTCTGCCGCATTCCCTACTGTTGCTGCTTCTCCACCTCCCTCTGCTACTTCTGCTCCTGTTGTTTCTGCTGCCCCTTCTACTGTTGCTGCTACCACTGTTACTGCTGCTCCCACTGCTCTTGCTTCGGCTGCAACTGATGCTGCAAATAAGCCAGGAACTTCCACATGCTTACGCGACGAAAAAGCAGCTGGCCTTTCGACAGGGGCAACTGAGCTGGAGAAGCAAGGGGAGGGGGCAGTAGAGAACGCAGATGGGGAAGAAAGCACCCAAGTGCTATCCCAGGGGAGTGGTGGAGAGGAGAAGGAGAGCGCAGTGGAGTTGAAAAAGGAGATGCGCATGGAGCAGAGAGTGCGGAGCACGCAAGTGGGTGTTGGCACAGCAGCAGTGGAGGCAGCTGTAGGAGGTGCAGGTGAGAAGAGAGGGGAGGAGGATGAGGGTGGGACGCAGGCAGGAGAGGGTGGTGTGGGTGTGGAACGGCGGCGTGAGGATGGGGTTTTGGGCACGCGGATTGAGGGAGTTGTGAAAGGAGGGGAGCCTGCGAGTGGTAAGGTTGAGGGGAGTGGATGTGGAAGGGCGGAGGCGGGCACAGTGGGCTTGGTGAGTAAGGCAGGAGAGGAAGCACAGCAGGAAGAAGGAGAGCGGGCAGGGGAGGCAGAAGGGGGAGGGGAGGCAGGGAAGGGAGGAGAGGCGGATGGGAAAGGGGAGGCAGAGATGGGAGGGGAGGCAGAGGAGGAAAAGGATGGAGTAAAAAGCTGTAAGAAGCGCAGGAGGTGCGAAGCGAGTTGGACAGTGGCAGGGGGGGAGAAGGATGCAGGGTCAGCCATGGAGAAGAGTAGGGAAACGACTGGTGCAGTGATGCGCGCTGTTGCAGCAACGGGCTCAGATGCTGCAGGCTCAGGCAAGAGGGATTCAGCAGAGGAGGGAGGGTTAGCAGAGGGCAGATCAGGCGGAGGGGCGTGTGAGGAGGAGCAGCAGGGTAGAGAGGGGAGTGCGTTCAGTGGGAGGCAAGTGGTGGATGCGAAGGGTGGCAGGATTGCTGATGGCGCAGGCACTGATGATGTGCAACTAGATGGGGCAGCTGCCACTGCTGCTGCCACTGCTGCTGCCACTGCTGCTGCCACTGCTGCTGCCACTGCTGCCGCTTCTACTTCTGCTGCGTTGGCCAGCGGTTCTGGTGCCACTGCTACTGTTCTGGCTGTTGCTGGTGCTGCTGCTGCTGCTGCTGGTGGTGGTGGTGCTGGTGGTGCCAGTGAGTTGGATTTCAGAAGTATGCCACCATCTGAACACATGCACGAGACTACTCAGAGGACGGAGGGGGTAAAGACAAGTGCTAATAAAGAGGCTAAGGACATAAGAAGTGAAGCGGATGGGGGTGAAGTGCTTAAAGCGGATCAAGCCACAAGTAGTCTGGGTCATTCAAAGGAGAATAGTGGTGGGAAGGGAGGTGAGAGCGGTGCAGTGGGTGCCTCAGCAGCAGGCGCAGATGATGCTGCGGAGGAAGGGAGGGGTGACGAGGGGTGCTGGGTGGTTGGTGAGAGTGGGGATGAGGAGGAGAAAGGCAGCCGGGAGGAGGGGGCATCAGAGCAGGAGGGCCCGAAGCAGGGTAGTAAGAGGGAGGTTCGAAAAGGGGCGCAAGCAGAGAGTGAAGCAGTGGAGAGCGAAGCAGCAGCAGCAGACACGGGTGGGACACAAAAGGCCCGCAGAGGGGACGCGCCTGCTGCGCTTGTGCCTTCTTCTTCTATTGCAGGCGGAACTGCTGGTGTGCGGACAAGGGCAAGCAGGGGGGAAGCAGCAGGCGAGGAGAGCAGGAGGCGGGGCAGTGGGAGAGAGGGAGGCGTGGCGCTACGGAGGAGTGCGCGGGTGGCAGATGGCATGGGCGGGTGGAAACGAGGGTTCTGGGCGCTAGACGATGGGTGGTATGAGCAGGAGCAGCGTGAGGGGGAGAGGGCGAGGCGAGGGCGCAGCAGGGCCAGGCAGAAGACGGGAGATTCGGAGGTTAAAGCGGAGAAGGAGGAGGTGGAAGGGGGTAGAGGGAAGAAGAGGAGGCGAGGGGAGAGGGCGGGATCAGGAAGTGAAGGGGGGCGGGAGGTGGGTGAGAGCAAGGGTGCAGGGGCGGGGAGGGTAATAAGGCGTGCACAGGGCAAGGGTGCTGGGGATAAGACGGAGGATGCGAGTGGTGAACACAGCGCAGGGGAGAGAGGGTGGGATGCTGCAGAGGGTGGGGGGAAGAAGAGGGATCGGGGTGGTTTAGATTCTGATAAGAGCAGAAGCACCAGTGGTGGTACGTGCAAGCGACTGAGGGTGGATGGATTGATGAAAAGGGAGAGGGAAGGAGAGTGGGATGAAGGGGACAGGGACTCAGCGTTGGAAGGGAAAGGGAGAATGGACGGGAAGGGAAGGGATGGTGAGTTTTCTCAATACAATGAGAGCACGAGCGCAGTGAAGAGGGTGGAGGGGGATAGGCGGAGCGGGAGGGAAGGCAGGAGTGCCTCCGGTGGGAAGTCCTCTGTTGGCCGTGTGGGACGCGATGATGCAGAGGAGGAAAAGCAATTGCTGGAGGGGGAGGGGGAGCAGGAGGAAAAAGAAGTAGACGAGGAAAGGACGAATCGAGATAGCCAAGGGAGTGAAGATGGTGAGGAGAGACGGGATGCTAGTAGTGAAGCAGGAGAGACGGTGGGAGATGCAGGTTCAGGTTCAGGTTCAGGTTCAGGTGCAGGTGCAGGTGCAGGTGAGGGTGGGCGTGGCGATGGCGTGTTCCCTCTTGTCTCTCCTTGCGAGCCCATGTCTCTTCTGCTGTCTGCTGTGTCGGCGTTTGAAGAGATGGACTTGCAGCAAGCAGCACTGGCTGGCATTCGCGTGGTAGAGCGGGAGGAGAGAGGGAGGGTAGAGCCTGCTGCTGCAAGCGAGGGCCGAGAGAGGGAGGGGGGAGAGAGGGAGGGGAGAGAGAGCGCGGACTGGGAGGCAGGTGCCTTTGCAGCAAGGGACAGTGAGGGAGAGAACAAGGAGAAGGAGGTTGGAGGCAGGGCGGAGGAGGAGGAGAGGGAGAAGCGTTGGAGGAGGGTTAGGATTGGCAGATATGATGGTATGGAGGAACTGAAGGAGAGTGTGGAGGATAGGGATGGGCTAGGAGTGGTGGTGAATGGTGAGGATGGTGAGGAGGACAGCAGTAGAACCATGCGAATTCCCACCACTGCTCCTGGTTCCGCTGATGCTGCCTTTGCTTCCGCTGCTGCTGCAGCTGCCGACGCCGCCGCTGCTGCTGCCACTGCTGCTGCTGCGGCGGCTGTTGCAGCCGATGCAGCAGCAGTTGCTGCTGCTGCTAGTGGCAGCATGCGGCAGAGGAAGGCAGGAAGCCAGGGGCCTGCAGGCAAGCACAGCCCGCCTAGCAGCAGGGCGGAGGGGAGTGTAGGCAGGGGAGATGGGCAAAGTGGGCAGTGGAGGAGCGTGGAGGTGCAAGAGCAGGAGGATGGAGAGGAGGAGAGAGATGGCGGGGGAGAGGCGGCGGCCTGTGGCAGAAGGGAGAGAGCAGGAGGTGTAGAGGCTGTGGCAGGGGCATGCGGAGAAACGAGTGGGGTTGGGGCGGTCACAGCGAGAAGCGAGGCAAGTCCGTCTGGAGGGGTTGCTGTTGCTGCTGGTGCTGCTGCTGCTGCTGCTGGTGCTACTGCTGCTGCCACTGCTGGTGTCACTGCTGGTGCTGCGTGCAGTGGCAGTGAGCGGGCAGTGCAAGCAGTGCAAGAGCCTGTGGTGGTGTGGCTCATGGGCCGGCCTTTAGTCATGGGCACCCGCCCTTGCCCTCCCTCCCCTGCCGCCACAACTCCTTGCACCACCATTCCTCCTCCTCCTCCCCCTCCTCATTCTGTTGCTGCCGCTGGCGCGGCTGCTTTAGATTCTACATCCACCCCTCCTGCGCCTGTGTCTGTGCTCCCACCCAAAGCTGCCTCTGCTCGTATTACCCCACCTGCCACTGCAGCGCACGCCGCATCTTGGGCTAACGCCGCTACCCTTCCTCCCATCCGCACCAGCACCACTGCTGTCACTGCCAGCACACCCATTGCTGCTCCCACTTCCGCTGTGCCGCCAGCCGTTGCTGCTTCGTCCCCCCCTGCGGCGCACATGGTATCGCCTCTGAATGCACCTGTGCCTGTGGGCCTTGCCCACATGCCTGGCAGCATGGCCGGCTGGTGGGGGTTGAGAGGCCAGCATGTGCCAGCAGCAACCACAACAGGAGCAGAAACAGGAGGAGCAGTGGGGGCTATTGGAGGGGCAGGGTGTGCAGAGGGACGTCAGGGACTACCTAACGTCCCTCTCATGCCCTCAAACCGTGGCCCCATGCCTCTCGCTCGTCCCATGCACGCCCACATGCATACCCATGCACCCCCAGTACACGCGCATGCGCCTCCCTCCCATTTTCGCCCGCACGCTCACCAGCACCACCCTGTGTTACATGTGCCATCCCCATCCTGGTCACTGCACTCTACTCCACCTACCAGCCGGCATGACTGGGCCAACGCAGGCCACCCTGCGTTTCAGCATGCTGCGTTCCCTCGTGGCCCTCCTCTCTCCCACCCCGTTCCCACTGCACCACCTGCATCATCTGCACCTGCCGGCACAGCTGGCAACTTCCCAGGGCAGAGCGGGGGAATGCGTTTGCAGCCGGGGAGTATGGGCAGCGCCAGTGACCCGTTGCATCCGCATTCACTAGCCGCACGTGGGAATAACGTGGCCGCGGCCGTGGGAGCAGCAAGGACAATAACAGCCGCAGGGGCAGTGGCAGGTGCAGCAGCAGCAGCAGTGCGAGGGGGCACTGGAGAAGCAGTGCCAGTGGGTGTAGGAGCTGGTTGCACAACAGCAGCAGCGGTCCCCATGCTAGGAGGCACAGCAGCAGCACCATCTGCTCTTGCCGCACCATATGGTGTGGAGCAAGGGTGGAGAGACAGCGGAGGAGGAAGCGGAGGAGGAGCAGGGGAGGTGAAAGCGAGGTTCCGACCGGGCGAGGTGGTTGTGCTTGATGACTCCCCGCCCTGCTCTCCCACCAATGCACATGCCGCGGACAGGGAAGCAACAGCAGCAGGAGCCACAAGCACCAATACTGCTTCTGGTGCCGTCGCACCCGGCAATACCCCTCTCAACCTAACACCACCGAGCGCCTCTTCTGCTCTTGCCCCGCCTCCTCACCCCATGCAGCCTCCGTTCAGGCCTCCCCTACTCTCCCATCCTAACCTCCATCCCGGCCTCACCATTCTCCCTCTTCCTGCCTTCTCCTCTTCTTCTAGCCCGGATCTTCCCCGTGCTTCTCCTCTCCCTCTTGCATCCTCTCTTGCACACCGCTCCCCGCAACCTCTCCCTGCCCCGCCCGCACCTTCCCTACCGCCCTCTCTCCCAGCATCCGCACCTGCAGCTGGGTTTGGAAGAGGCAGGGGCAAGGCGGGGCAGGTGGGGGAGAGGCGAGGCGGGGAGGGGCAGGGAGCAGAAGGTGGTGCTTATGGCGGTGGGCATGCAGGGGGCCCGGCACGTGTATCGGCTCACTCAATGCGCAACAGCATGGGCCGGGGGCGAGGCTCAAATGGTCACCTTGGGGGCACTCCACATGGGGCTGCTGCGCGTGGTGCAGGTGCTGCGAGTGCTGCAAGTGGTGCAAGTGGTGCAGGTGGTGCAAGTGGTGCAGGTGCTGCGAGTGCTGCAAGTGGTGCAGGTGGTGCAAGTGGTGCAGGTGGTGCGAGTGGTGCGAGTGGTGCTGGTCCGTTGAGTCGCTCCCGGTTGCACTCCCATGCGGTGCACACTCAGCCGCTCTCAGGACCAGCACGTGCTTCTCCAGTGCCAGCAGCACCACAAACAGCAGCTGCAGCACCTGCTCCAACACCACCAGCAGCAGCACCATTGCCAGCACCACCGTGTGCCTCCGGCCCAGCTCCTTACCTTTCAGTAGCTGCTCCAGCTGCAGGAGTTCGTGTGTCAGCCCCCCTACCAGCTTCCCTACCGTGGAACCCACACACCCCAACTTCACACCGCATGCCAACACCAGGGCCCATGCCATTCCCCAGAGGACCCATGCCATCACCACCGCCGACAGCAGCAGCGGCAGCGGCAGCAACAACAGGAGGCAGAAGAGGAGCCGGAGCAGTGAACAGTGATCACGGCGGTAGGCAGCGACCAGCAACCTCAGCAGGCGTGCAGGCAGCAGGCATGCCACGCACACACAACAATGCCACACCTGCTATGGCCGGCAGCAACAGCAATTCTTTACTGGCGTCTCACGGTCGCAGCAGCACTCATCATCACCCGGGGAACTTTTTCTCATCCTCTGTGGCCCGTCAGCAGCAGTTGGCTGCTTTGGTGCGGGATGTTGCGTCTGGCCAGTTGTCTGCAAATCAGATATCCAGTGCTGTTGATTCTATCTTTTCTGAGTGACTGCCCTGTGATGCCAGTACCTTACTGTAGATCAGATGTTTTGAAACACATGTTGCAAATCTGAGGGTACATTCCGCTGTGGACACATGTCCCAATCGATGTGTCCCAATCGAGTGTACCGCTCCGAACCGAACTAAACCAGAGACGCGAAAATTTCGATTGCAGGGTGCAATTTGGTGTAATACGATGCAGTGCGGTAGAAACGATTGGGACACATCGATTGGGACATGTGTCCACAGCGGAATGTACCCTGAGTGTATCTGCCAGATGGCTTCAGTAAGACAACATTTGTCAATGAGTTTACAGAGTTGTCACCGACTCATGGTACAGTAGCATACCAGAACGGAACCTCGCCCCCAGAAGTCAGCCGTTATGCTCATTTGCCTTTGAAAGACGGGCTTGTTTTTTATGCAATAGGCCAGGCCCTCAGATTTGTCGTCGCACAAATGAGTATGCTGAACATCAGCTGCAGTAAAAACAGCCATCAATGCAGTCTTGCTACAATACAAAATCATGCTGACATGGCTGAGCCCATACATCACTTAATCACAGCGTGTGGAAGGCGCGGCGGTCAAAGAGATCAGTAAACTCATTGAGAGCCCGTGTGAGGACGTGGGATGCAAAGATGTGATGGTGTGACCCCATAGCCCGAACACCCAGCTCCCTCTCCAGCCCTGCAGGGTCCTTCAAGAGTTGCGAGACGACATACATGTGCTCCAGTGCTGGACCTAGTAGAGGTGAGAGCGTGGAGAGCAGCGCCCACTCTGGCAGCGCAGCCACCATGACAGCACGGGTGAGCAGCGGGGCTGGTGCAATGCGGGGGAGAGGAGGCAGCAGTCGTGGTCTGTGGGGTGGGTGGTTAGGCGAGGGTGCACGGGAAGGTGCTGCTGTGGCAGAGGCAGCGGCGGCAGGAGTGGTGGTTGACGGGGGTGGAGAGGGAGAGGTGGAGGAGGAAGGGTCGTTGCCCAGGTCGAGATAGAGAGAGGCGAGGGTGGGGCACTTGATGGTGATGCTCGTGGCAGCAGGCGTGTGAGGGGACGATGGAGGTACACATAGTGTCAGTTTCTGTAACCTGGAGGGAGGGAGGAAGGAGAGGGGAGTAGGCGTACGGATATATTTTATGATGGGAAGTGACAAAGCATAGAGTAGCTATATAGCATGGTATTAAGCATGGGCGGAAGCATGGTATTGAACGGAGAATGTTGAGCATGGGCGCAAGGAAGTCTGGTGAAAGATTGGTGGCAAAAGCGGAGGCAGGCACTGTGGAGTGCATGTGAGACAGGAGGAGTGAAGCAGTGACCTTGGGCAGGCAACGGTAATAGACGAGGCAGCCACCTCCCACAGCAGCAGCTTCTGCAGACTCGCCCACTCCGGCCCAAACACCACCGCCCACCCACACTCCCCTCCCCCACTCTCCCTCCCTTCCCCGCCATCCCCGTTCCCCTTAGCTCCATTCCCCCCACCACCACTGCCCGTCACCCCGCCGCCCTCCCCACTCCCTATCCCCCTGCCCCACAGCCTGCTTGCTCCTGCCCTGCTGCCGGGTGCAGTGCCTGTGCGAGGGAACTCCCCTCCTGGGGCAGTTCTGGTGGGCACCCCCCAGCACTTGGAGATGTCCACCTCTCTCACCACCGCACATGCTGCTCCGAAACTGAACGATGGCAGGCATGCCGTGAGCGACGGCACGGCGCAGGCCGGGGGATGCGATGAAGACGAAGGGGGGGTTGGCAAGGAAAAGGCTGCAGGTGGTGCTGTGGAGGTGGTGGTGGTGGTACCACGTCGAGTGGCGGTGGGACGCGAGGAGAACGGGGGGATGAAGGGAGATAGAGAGGAGGAGGAAGGGCGGGCAGGGGAGGAGATGGAAGCGCCGCAGAGCATGGAGAGGTGTGCGGAGGAGAGGAGTGTATTGGCGTGGAGCATGGGGGTGCAGATGCGGCGGTGGCTGTTGGCCTGCACCCACTTGAAGCGCTGCAGCTGCGGGCACTCCACTGTGAACGTGTGTGGCTCTCTGCACATGCAGCATGGACACACGGCTCTTCCCCCAGTACACGACGCAGCAGCAGTAGCAGCGGCACCAGCAGAAGCAGAAGCAGAGGCATCAGCAGCAGAGGCAGGCGCACTGTCCTTCACACCATGCCCACCACCATCCCTACCCTCCTCCGCCTTGCTCTCTCCTCCCAACCCCTTGTCCCAACCACTTTCCCGCTCACCTTCCCTTCCCTCCCCTCCACACACCATCCCCCCACCACCTGCCACATATCCCGCGCCCCTATCGCCATGCACGAGCAGCAAGCTCCTGAGGGACGGGCACTGCACTCGCACATTCCCCAGTCGCCCCACACACAGCGCCACCTCTGCATGCTTCAGCAGCGGGCAGCACAGGTGAACGTCCACACACACGCGTGCACACTCACGCTCTCCCCTACTGCTGCCCCCACCACTGCCCTTGCCATTGTCCCCATGGCCGCTTGCATGCCTGCAGTCACTATTCCCCAGGCCATGCTCGCACCCACCACCACCATCACCCACCGTTCCCACACCCCCCTCACCCCCTGCCCCATCCACACCTTCCCGCGCCCCCAACACCGCCGCCCCTCCCCCCGCACCTCTACTCCCCGCTCCTACCCCTTCCCCTTCTCCGTATCCCCTCCCTTCCCTCGGCCTCTCTCCTTCCGTGTGCCTTCCTGCATCGTCGGAAGCAGCAGCAGCAGCAGTAGCAGCAGCAGCAGTGTGGGTGACATGCCTGACCGCGCGTGTGAATTGCTCGCCTATGCGCCCATACATGCCCGTTAGCTGACTCGATCGCCCCCACATCAACCGCCCTGCCTCGTGCCCTGCGCCCGCCCCTACTACGTCACCCCTCCCAAGCACTGCTCCTGCTGCTGCTCCTGCTGCTCCTTGCTGCGTTCCCCGTGCACCTGTTTGCTCTGCTTCTTCTGCCCTGACTCCCCGCCATGTTACCCCCCTGTCCCTCACTCTCTCCATGTCATCCCACTCCCGCACCCCTCCACTATCCCCACCACCACGCTCCACTCCCTCAGCCCGCCTCTCCCCTCCATCCACCAACCCAAGCCTTCCCACACCGATCTCATCCACTCGCCTCTGCCCCCACTCTCCCCCGCGCTCTGCACGCCCTGAAGCGCCCCTCCCACCCACTCCTCCGTGTGAGCTCACAGCACTGCTCCCCCCTGTGAGCCCACCTTCGTCCACCCATGCCACTCGCCTCCTCTGCCCTCGCCGCAACCCAGACACCCATGCCGCACTGCCTGCTGCTGCCGCACTGCCTGCTTGCCGTTCTGCCACCACTGCCACCGCTGCCACCGCCCCATCACCACCTCCTTCCACTGCACTCCTTTCCAACGCCTCCCCTGCCCCCCTTGCCTCCCCTGCACCTCTCGTCTCGCCTGTCCCCCTTGTCTCACCTGTCCCCCTCGTCTCACTTGTCCCCCTCGCCTCACTTGCTCCTCCCTGCATGGAATCTAAAAGGCCACCCGAAGCATGCTCACCACTCGCACGCCCTGATCCCACCTGCAAGCCCCCACTCATGCCACCACTCTCGGGCGCCCTCTCCCCCACACCACCCACCCCATCGCCTGCTGCACCACTCTGCACCGCCTCTCCCACCCCGCCTGCCTCCCGCCCTCCCTCGCTCACTCTTCGCCTTTCCTGACTCTCCTCACCAGCCCTCTCCCCACCTCTCGCCCCACGTTCCATCACACCCCCAAGCTCCATATCACGTCCCACCCTCTCCCCTCCAGCCCCTCTCTCCCCACGCACCACACCCACCACCCTGTCTTCTCTCTCCCTGAAAGACCTCTCTCCCACGCTCTCCCTCACGAGCGCCCTACCCAACGGCACATCAGGCACACGGCCATGCCTGATGGTGCGCGAACGGGCCATCCCCAACCCCCCAACAGGCCACAGAGCCGCCGAAGCAAACCGCACACCACCACCACCAACCCCTGCAGAAACACCCAGGCCCAGTCCGGTGCGCGGTGGGAAGCAGGAGGATGGGGGGGGGATGGGCGAGGGCGGTGGGACGGGGTGGCCTGAGTGTGCTCCGAAGGCAGCATCGAGGAGTGTGAGAGAGAGGTGCTCCAGGCACTCAAACGCTGCTCCCACATGGATGGCAGCACACACACAACGCGGCAGGGGACGGTCATGCGAGGCGTGGTGGTCAGGACGGGTTGTGGTGGGTGGGGAGGGTGGGTGGTGAGGGGGAGTGGTGGGTGAAGAGAATGACACAGGACGGGTTGGCTGGGAAGGGGGAGTGATGATGGGAGGAGACGAGCCATGCGTGCGCCTGTCCACGTGCTCTGCAACTCTGTGCAAGTCAGTGTTTCCGCCACGCGGACCGATATCCTCCACTTTCCTGCCCTCCTCCCCACCATGGCACTCACCAGCCACGCCTCCTATCACCTGTCTCCCCTCTCCACTGCCATCCACTGTGTCTACCCCCCTTTGACCATCCGACCCGCCCTCTTTTGCCGCACCTGTTGCTGTCTTCCCCCGCCTGCTCCTCTGCTCAGGTGTCTCCCCAAACGGCCCCTCACCAGCCCCATGGCTCTCTCTCGCCCTCTTCCCCCGCCGCCCCATCGCAGCACATGCCTCACTCAACAACGGCTGACACACACCTGCTGCGCCGCCGCCAACCCTCTCCCTACCCACATCCGCTGCACCAGCAACACTGCTCCTCCTCCTTCTGCAGATCCTGCCGTCAACCTGCCCTCCTCCACTCGCGCCTAGCACACGCCAGTCAACCAGGGGACCCACAGCCCGGAACACTCTGAGCTTGGGGCAGGCAGCAGCGATGGAGTGGAGCGCAGGCAGGGGGAGGACGCCGAGGTCAAGCAGATCCAATTCCGGGCACTCAATGCGGCAGTAGCTCACACGCCTGCTGCTCTGCCTCTCAGCTGCATGAGTGGATCGTGCAGCGGCGAATGGCGACGAGGGAGAGTCGCTTCCAGCGGCAGCAACTGAGGGGGAGAACGGTCGCAGCAGCACCTCGTGCCTACCACTGCTGCTGCTGCTGCTGCTGGTACTACTGGCACTGCTATCAGGTGCGGACCCGCACACGAGCGTGACGAGGCGAGGGCAGCAGACGTCCACCACGGAGATGGGCGGCAGCGGGCGGTCCTGCAGACTAGCCAGCGCATGCGCCACCTTGAGCACACGCAGCGCCTGGAACTCCCGCCCCACGCGCAGCACCCCCCCCGCCACATAGTCCACACTCAGCTGCTCCAGCCGCGGGCACGTGCCCCCCAGGCTGGCCAGATCTGCCACTACAAAGGGTAGCTCGAGTTTCACTATTTGAGGGCAGCGCAGGGTGAAGCGCACGGGCTGGTCCCACTCAGCCGGGCGCGCGCGGAAGTTGAGGTGCGTGAGGCAGGGGGCCGTGGCTTCCACCAGGCAGGGTGCGGACCAGGTGCAGTAGACTGTGAGGGAGGTGAGGCGCGCGCAGTGCACCTGCAGCGTGCGGCACACGCCGAGCCCGGATATGGACGCCCGTTCGAGTTGTGCAAACTCCTCCCCCAGTACCACGTGGTGGGCTTTCGGGCAGCACACCTCCAGGCTGCGCAGGCTCGGGCACCCGCGCCCGATGCTGTCGAGAGGCCCGGGGTCGATGCCCCCGAGGGCGAGCGAGCGCAGGGACGGGCAGTGGAAGCGGCAGAGGACCGCGTCGAGACCAAAGCTGAGCACGCGGAAGTCCTGCAGGAGAGGGCAGTCTACTGAGAGCTTGTCTGTGTGGGAGACGCCCAGGGCGACTGTTGCTTGGTGCAGGCGCGGGCACGCGAGGGAGATCTCCCGCGCGCCGTAGTTCTCCCCGAGCCCTCCCAGGAAAAGCTCCCGCAGGTGCTGCCAGGCGGGGCCTAAGTGGACAGTAGCAGGAGGGTGGCGCACGCGCAGGATGCGGAGGAGGGGGGATGAGGCAGCGAGGGCGTGCAGGGAGGGCGAGGAGATGAGAAAGTCGATGTCGAGGTCTGTGAGGAGAGGGCAGGCGAGGGTGAGGGTGCGGGAGGGCGGTGGGGAGAAGGCGTGCACGTCCCCGCGGTAGAGCTTGATGCGACGCACACGGGGCAGGGTGAGGGACATGGTGAGCGGCAGGCGGAAGCTCTCCAGCTCCACCTCCTGTAGCTGCGAGCTGGGGATGAGAGAGGAAACGGGGAGGGGTGGCCGGTTGGGTGTTAGGAGGGAGAAGCGGAAGATGGTGAGCGGCAGGCGGAAGCTCTCCAGCTCCACCTCCTGTAGCTGCGAGCTGGGGATGAGAGAGGAAACGGGGAGGGGTGGCCGGTTGGGTGTTAGGAGGGAGAAGGGGAAGATGGTGAGCGGCAGACAGAAGCTCTCCAGCTCCACCTCCTGTAGCTGCGAGCTGGGGATGAGAGAGGAAACGGGGAGGGGTGGCCGGTTGGGTGTTAGGAGGGAGAAGGGGAAGATGGTGAGCGGCAGACAGAAGCTCTCCAGCTCCACCTCCTGTAGCTGCGAGCTGGGGATGAGAGAGGAAACGGGGAGGGGTGGCCGGTTGGGTGTTAGGAGGGAGAAGGGGAAGATGGTGAGCGGCAGACAGAAGCTCTCCAGCTCCACCTCCTGTAGCTGTGACCTGGGGTGTTGCAGCGGGAGGAGATTGGCGGGCAAACAGGGAGAGGGGAGGAGAGGTGATGTCGGAAAGGGAACCTGCCATGCATGCACACAGACAGAATGAGCAGATGAAGCATGAGACTGACTTTCGGAACAACACATCACCACCGAACATAAAGAACCACAGCCCCTTTCCTCTCCCACGCCACGCCACGCCACGCCACGCCACGCCACGCCACGCCACGCCACGCCACGCCACGCCACGCCACGCCACCACCACCTCACACCACGCCAGGTGCACACCCAACCCCCGTGGCACGTACTCAGCAGGAGCGAGCACCTCAGTGGCGCCACCATCGTCAGCCAGGGACCCGTCATCCCCGGGCAGCGCATTCAGCTGCGTGGCCATGCGCAGGTGCGTGAGCTTGGGGAACACACGCACACACCGCTCCAGCACTGGCAGCGCCGTGGCCACGTGAAACACGAGCGTCACGTCCAGCCGCTGTAACTCTTTATGCCCACCTGCCAGCCCTGCGCCTACAACGCCTGGCAGGCGCAGGGATTGCAGGCAGGGGCAGCGCGCGAGGAGACGTTCAACGGCGCTGGTCATGATGACCGCGCCGTATAGGAGTGAGGTGGGACCACGTTCCACCAGCCGCACAGGCACGTCTGCTCCTGCTGCTGCCACGGCCGCTGCTGCTGCTGCGACTGGGCCGTCTATGTCGTCGTCTGTAGAGGCAGCAGCAGCGGCTGCTGCCGCTGCTGCTGCTGCGGCTGCCATGGCATTGCCTGCTTCGTCCTCTCCCTCCTGCTCCTGCTGCTCTTCCCCCGCTCCATTCCCACCGTCCCACTCCATCCCTCGGGCTTCTCCCAACCTTTCATCCTCCCCTGTCCTTGCCTCGACCGTGCCCCTGCCCTGTTCCCCTCTTGTCTCCCCTTCCTGTGTCCTTGCCTCATCCCTCTCGCCCTCCCCCCTCTCATCAACCACTCCTTGCACCTCTGCTGCTCCGTCTCTCATCCCATTAGGGCCGTCCCCAGCAACACGGTCGACAGTGTCAGCAGCAAGGGTAGCAGCAGGGGTGGCAGCAGGGGTGGCAGCAGGGGCGGCAGCAGGGGTGGCAGCAGGGGTGGCAGCGTCACCGTCATGTGCACTCCCCCTCCCAACCACACACGTCCCCCCAGCCTCTCCACATGCCTCTCGCCCCTCTAGTCTTTCACATCCCTCCCACGCCCCCTCCACAGCACCACCTCCCACACCCACACCAGCAACAGGCGCACTAACAGTGGGAGGAGACAGATCCAATGCAGGCCTGCCAGGCAAGGGATGGGGCAGCACCAGGTGAGCGTCCTGCACGTGCTGCAAGCAACCCTCGCCTTGCTCACCCGCTTGCGCACCCTGCGAGATCTCTCTGTTGTCCGCCCCCACCACTCCCTCACTGTCCCCTCCACTCCACCATCCGCCCTGCACCTCTCCCTCCCCTTCACCCTCCTGTGCTGCTGCTGCCGCAGCTGCTGCAGCAATGGCAGCGCGGTCAGCGCTGGTTTGTGAATGTAGGTGCCCTCGCACCACTGCCCTCACCACGTCCTGTAGCCGCACCCCCACCCCACTCACCCCTTCCTCACCATCCTCCCCATTCACCCCACTCTCTCTCTCCGTCCCCCTTCCCTCTCTTCCACTCTCACACTCACATTGACGCTCGCCTTCTCTCTCGTTTTGCTCCCTCCCCCTCCCTCCCTCCCAGCCCACTCCCAGACCGCACCTTATTCCGTCACTTCTCACCCCCACTTCCCCTGCTCCTACATCCGCAAGACCAGTGTACCCCTCGCCCTGCTCCCCCTGCTCTTCCTGTTCCCCCTGCTCACCCTCCTCTCTCTGCTCCCCTTGCTCCCCCTGTCCCCCCTGACCCTCTTGCTCCCCCTGCCGCCCCTGCTCCACCTGCTCTCCCTGCTCCTGACACCTCGCCATAGCAGCGCCCTCCAACCCTTCATGTGCCATCTCCCCTTGCGCCCTTCGCTGCTGCATTGTACCGTCTGCCGCATACACTTCTCCCTCGCCATCCCCACCACCAAGAGACCCCAAAGTAAAAGGGACGGACATACCCTCCTCTTCTTCCCTCCCCCGCCCCGCCTCATCATCCCCATCAGCATCCTCATCCGCACCCACCCCCTCCCCTCCCACCCTCTCACTCTCCTGATCCAACGACACCCCGCCTTCCTCTCTCTCATCGCCCTCCCTACCACTCAAACCAGAATCCCCACCATCATCACCATCACCAAAAGCCCCATCCCCATCCCCATCCCCATCCCCATCCCCATCCCCATCCCCATCCCCATCCCCATCCCAATCTCCACCCCCACCCCCGTCCCCATCCCCATCATCCTCATCCCACAACAGTGCAGGACCCGCCCTCACCTGCACCTCCTCCTCCTCCTCTCCACCCACCAAACCCGCTCTCCCTCTCATAACCCATCCCCCTCCCCACCCCCCCGCTCTCCCCCCATCCACATCCCCCTCCCCGGCGTCCCCCCATCCTCTACCCCTCCCCCTCAACCCCAATCCCCCAATCCCCCCTCCCCCCGGAAGCGTGGCCCCCAGCAGCAGCGCGCGGGCACGCGCACCCCTAAACCCAGCGAGCAGCTCCTCCTTATGCAGGCAGCTCCAAGTCACATGCAGGGAGCGCAGGCGCGGGCACGAGTCCGGGAGCACCTGTACCACAGCCATGGTGGGCAGGCTGTGGCGCCGCACGTGCACCACACCCAGTGTGAGCGACGTGAGCGATGGGCTCAGGAACATGCCCACGCTCTTCACGTGCCGGCAGGGGAGGTTGGTCCACGACAGCTCCGTGCCTCCCCACACGTACGCACCTCTGCCCTCTCCTCCCTGTACCCCTCCCTGGGACCCTCCTCTTCGCTCTACTGGTTCCGTGCGTGCCTGTGAAGGGGACGTTCCTGCTCCCTCTGCTGCTCCTGCCGCTCCTGCTGCTGCTGCGTCACCCCCATTACTCCTCACCGCGCATGCCTCACCCGCTCCTCCGCCTCGCAAATTCCCAGAGCCTCTTCCCCCACTCACACCCTCGCTGCCAGCAACACCGTCACCGCCAGATCTGCTACCACTACTGCTGCTGCTATGCACAAGGGCACCACCAGCAGCACCAGGAGCGGCAACACCAGCAGTGGTATGAGCAGCAGCAGCAGCAGCGAGGCGGGGGAAGCCGTGAGCGCGCATGGCTCGGATGTCAGCAGCAGCGTCTCGTTCGTTGTCAGGGCTCACCAGGCGCACCACATTCGCCGTGCCCAGGATGCCTGGCAGCACACGCAGCATCCTCGCCACCTCTATCACGCTGTCTCCCGCGTTGTCTATCACGCGCACCTGCACGCACACACAGGGGGTGAGAGAGGGGGAAGAGGGGAGAGATGGGGGAGAGTGGGGAAGGGGGAGAGGGGAGAGAGGGGGAGAGGGGAGCGAGGGGGAGAGGGGAGAGAGGGGGAAGATTGGAGAGAGGGGGTTCAGCAGCGCAAGCAGGGGCACAACACACCAGGATTAAAGAACAATGAGCAACAGCGAGCAGCGAGCGGCGAGAGCAGAGAAGCCAGAGCGCGGGCACGAGCGGCGCATGCGCGTTAAGGCACACGCGCGCACACCTGGTGGCAGAGGCGCACCTGGTGGCAGAGGCGCACCTGGTGGCAGAGGCGCTTGAAGCGGCGGCACGTGAGAGCGGCGCGCGTGAGGTCCAGCGCGCCCAGGCGCGACAGCACGTCCACCAGCTGGCGGCCCGCGGCGGGGGCGGGGGGGAAGAGAGGGGGGAAGGGGGGACGCGCGGGGGGTGGGGACCGATGAGGAAGACGGAACGAACACGGCCGGAACGAACACGGGCGGAACGAACACGGGCGGAACGAACACGGGTGAGGCGGGTGAGCGGGAACGGCGGGCAGCGAGGGACGTGGACGAACATGCAGGCGTGCTTTGTTCCAAGTCGACCCGGCGTGCACGCACACCTGCCGCGACCGACTCAAGCGGAACAACTAAGGCGCTCTGTCAGTAGGACGGGCGACTAGGGCGGGGCGACTAGGGAGGGCGAGTGCACGCGACTGCTACCACCACCCCGTGCGCACTCGCCGCTGCATGTGCATCCCCGCGCCCCCACTGCCGAGCCTTGCCTGTTCATCCGCCAGGCGGTCGCAGTGGTTGCGCCCATCGCCGCCCGCCCACCGCATGCGCACCGTTCGACACAACCGCCGCCACAGCGCGGCCGTGCTCTCCTCCTCCTCTTCCTCCTCCCCGCCCTCCCCTTCTTCCTCCTCGTCTCCCTCATCCTCCTCCTCATCCTCCTCCTCATCCTCCTCCTCATCCTCCTCCCCGTCCTCCTCCCCCTCCTCGTCCCCCTCTCGGTCCTCCTCCCCGTCCCCCTCCCCTTCCCGCTCGTCCTCCACCTCCTGCGGCTGCCGCTCCTCGTCCGTCATCCGCGCAACATCCACGGAGCTGCTGGCAGCACCCATCGCAAAATCCGCCTTACCGCACTCCACCCAACGCCCAAGAACGTTCCTGTGGGATCGGATCGGCGCGCAACCGCCTACTGTGATTCAACAGCCGCTGGCGCGGCGAAGACTAGTGAGCGAGCACGGAGGGATGTGGCGCAAAACGCGTCGCGCCTCATGGAGGAGGGAGTGTGATGATGGTGTCGCGCAGAAGAGCTTACACGTGTTCCCTGTCCAGTCGAGTTCAGTCGCTCCCTCAAACGAGGGTTTCCCAAGGGACTGCGGCCCGTGTTCCCTCACAGGTTCAAAGCATCGAATTTTTGAAAACATACTTTCAGGTTGAAATCGGTTAATATGTGTAACTATAAGTTTCTCCAAGTATGATTATAACACAGATTGATGACAATCCGGAGTATCGTTTCAGTCTTTTACTTATGGTTTGGAAGTTTAGTTAAGGTTACTAGCGTCTATTCGCGATCTTTGTAAGGGATATTAGTACTGTCATCACCCGGATAGAAGACATATGCCTCTTAGCCGATACAACTTGAAAATGTGGCTGCATACGAGGTCTATGGTTAACAAGGTGATTCACCTTTATGACCCTTACCGTACTATAAGGCTGGGTTTGACTATGCACCCTTTTTTATCAGAGTGGTAATTTTTTCTATCCTTACAAAAACAAGGTCTTGGTTACTACACTGATACAGGGCTGATTTTATTAGGGTAATTACCTTGATTTCAGGGTGATTATAGGAATGTCATTTGGTGGAACTTGCAATCTCAGTTTTTTTGCTTTGTGCACCCTGATCCAATCAGATAAGGTACTTAACGAACTCTGAAATTTTGTAACTAGGCTCAGAGTAGTGTACTTGCCGACTATGTCTATATAGGGTATGCGTTCGCTGGACCCTGAATGCGAGGGTATCGGGAGAAAGGTTCCTCGAAGTTTCGTCTCGATACCCCCCCCCCCCCCCCCTAGTGTGTAATTATTACTTCGCGTGGCCCCATCTTGCTGGACCGTGAATGCGTGCGAGGGTATCGGGAAGAAGGTTCCTCGAAGTTTCCTTTCGATAACCCCCCCTTGTGCGTTATCATTACTTCGCGTGGCCCCATTTGAGGTATCCCCTTCACGCGCGGGAGTGTGACGTAATACCGAAAAGGAAAAACACCCCCGTTCTGTACATCACAGCTGGCAACACCGACAACTCACCTAAATCAATGATACAGTGCTGCCACGCGCACCGCACAATGCACAGCATGCATCTGCCATTGGCTAGCACGGCCTGTTGACACCATGCGGTGGCAGCCAAGCAGCCCGCAAGTGAATTCGGCCTTGAATGCAAGGCCGAATTCATCGGCCATTGTTGCCATCAAGTCCTTGATGGCGCGGCGCGGTGGTTTCGTGCTGACCCCGCCATCTCCAACCTTCCCTTCCCTCCCTCTACCAACAGTCGTGGTCCAGAGTGCACCTCTGTTTTCTTTCCATTCCGTGCACTCAATCTCTCATTTCCCTCTCGCTCAGATTAGCCACCAATCTCGCCGCCATGGAGGCCATGCCGGCCGACGAAGCTGCTTCGGATTCTGGCCCTGACGAGCCACCTGTACTAGCGAAACTAATAGCCCTGTCCCAGCCGATGCTCCGCGTTCTGGGCTCGATTTTCTTCGAGCTACGGCTGCTCTCGTAACACCAGAGCCGCCTAGGTCCACCGTTCATGACTCCGCCGCTGTCGTGACACCTACCCCTACTGATTCGCCCACTCCTGTCGAGTTCACTCTCCCCCCGGCTGTTGCTGGCTGCAGCAAAGACCCTCCACCGCCCACGCCCAGTCCCATTCCAAGCACGGTGCAGGTCTCCCTAGGCCCGCCGTCGGCTACTTCCACTCCCAAGCGGGCGCGATCCGGGAAGTGGTCGCAGAGTACTCTGGTGGTGGGGGGCCGCCGTATTCCACCGCCTGAAAAGCCTGCTGAGCCTCCACCGAAAGAAGCTGAGCTGCCGGAAGAAGGTGACATCCCGGTGCGCGCGGATACCGGCTCACCCGCTCTCACCAAGGCGCAGCTGCACGAGCAGGCGTAATTGGAGGCGAGTATTAATTACGAGACGAAGTGGTCGGGGTACTTCTCGTGGCTCGTGTTTGGGAAAACCAAGGACGGTTTCCCCTACGTGAAGTGCAGCATCTGCATGTCGTACGGAAAGGGGAACACCAGGTACGCGATGCCAGGAGACGACGGCGGCCGTGACTTGCAGACTCAGTCGTTCCGCGCGCACGAGCATACGGACGCACACAAGGCGGCGGTGGACCGGCAGATGAGGATTGCGGCAAGAATTCGCGAAGGGCAGCAGGTGATTTCGGACTTCATCAACTCCGACGTGGAGGGCCGCCTCGCGATACGCCTGATGCGGTCTACTCAGTTCCTGTGCCAGTGCGACGCGCCGATTAGCATGTTTCCTAAGCTGATGCGGCATCTTGCGGAGCAGGACACGCCTGACATTCCCTGGCAGTCGTACGGCGTTTATCTCACACGGTAATTGAAGCTTCAAATAGAGTGCAGTGTGTACTATGTATGTTGCATTCATGATTGATAGTCTACTGATCACTTCTCTCATGTTGTTGCAGCTACGGCTTCCGGCAGATGGTGCACAGCATCAACACATACCTCACGTGGGTGCAGATGGACCACATCCTGTCATCACCGTTCCTGGGCATCCAATGCGATGAGAGCACTGACCGCACGCGAGGGAAACACATGATTGTGTACCTTACATTTCTGAAGAACCGCTAAGTCGCATGCGAGTTTTTCACTTTGTTGACGGTCGAGCGGTGTGATGCAGGGTCTCTTTTTGAGGTGCTTATGAACCATCTCCGCTCCGCTGCCGTGGATGTCTCCAAGATCGTCGGCATCAGCACGGACGGGGCGTCGGTCATGAACGGGAGAGAGAACGGATTGGTGGCGCGTCTTCGGGAACACGTGCCGCATCTCTTTTCATGTCACTGCATCGCCCATCGGTATGTCAGTTGGTCTCATGTACACTTGGTTTCCTAGTGTGCTTGATTAATTAACTAACATTGCTTTGTGTTACCTGTTCGCCACAGTGAGGCGTTGGCTGTGAAGGACACCGCGGACTCGAACCCGGATCTCGGCATGGTCGACAAGGTGGTGCGCACAGTGGCGACGCTGCTCGGAAACTCCAGCGTGTGGAGTCAGTGGTTCAAGTACCTGCAGCATGTGATTTACACGACCAACCTGGAAGTCCAAAGGGATCCACACGGTGCGGTGGCTGTCTCAAGGTGATACGGTGGGGAGGCTGTGCAAGGTTCTCGGCGCATGCATCGTCCTCCTCTGGGAGCACAATCACAAGGCCTACGAGATCGTGATCTGCTACAAGTTCCAGTTCTGCTTGTTCTTCTTGGCCGTCATCTTGGCAGACATGAACGACCTCAACCGCTGCTTCCAGCGACGAGAGGTAAAGTCGCATGTGTGGCTGTTGTTGCAACGTTATGTTTCTAACCACATAGTTGCTCATTACACTCCCTGTTGTTTACACCGTCTCCTCTGACAGCTGGACGTGACAGAGATTGCGAAGACGATCGAGTCAACCACGGGTGACCTGACGGAGCGCTACTTGACACCTGAGAAGCCTTTCGGGGGAGAAGGGAAGAGCTGGCTGGTGAACTTCCTCAAAGTCCACAAGGAGGGTGGAGGCAAGCAGGTCCGGGTGCGAGGCGTGGACGGTGCTGGACAGCCTATCAACCACCTCTACACCATGCATGAGAGGAAGCTGAAGGGACACAAGCAGGGGAGCAGTTACGCAGACTGCGTGAAGCTGTGCCGCAAATTCGCCCGTGACTGCGTTGACAACCTGAACGACCGGCTGGATGACCTTGGGAAGCTGGGGCCGACTAAGCTGTTTCGGGCTGGGAAGTGGCCGAAGATCAAGGCTCAGCGGGAGAAGAAGTGTAAGGAGTGGCTGAACGGATGCAGCAGGCTGTTCCGCAACAAGCTACCGGGATTCGACCTCAAAGCAGCAGAGAGGGAGCTCCCGACTTTCTGCGCCATCATGGAGAGCCACCATGAGATGGAGAGCTTCTCCCAGGGCCTGTCCAACTTTCTCGGGAGTCCAGACTCAAAGAGGTAGGCCAACTTTGATTAAATGACTCTTGTAATAGAAACTTGGGTTGCTAACTGCTACTGTTGTGTTGTTTCCCTTGTGGTGTGTGAACGAATGTGCCTAGCAGGAGATGGCCCAACCTCATCCTACTGTGGCAGGCGCTAGCTGTGCTCCCCCTCTCAACCGTGGAGTACGAGAGGGGGTTCTCCAGGCAGAACGTCATCAAGTCCTGGATCCGTGGAGCGCTGTGCAATGCGCGACTGGGGGGGCTGATGCAGATATCGCTCCTGAAGTATGAGATCGACTGGCCGGAGGCGCTGGAGGTGTGGAGGTCCCTGTGGAGGAGGCGCCCTGCGAAGAGCTTGAAGCTGGCTGTGGCAGAGAGGGAGAGGAAGGGGAAGCAGAAGGAGGGTGAAGATGTGGCTGCAGGACATGCTGGAGAGAACGAGGATGAGGTGGAGGAGGAGGAGGACGATGAGGTGGAGCAGGCCTTCGGCGACGATCAGGAGGTCTTGGGGGAGGAAGAAGTGGAGGACAATCCATCCCTGTCGGACGATGAGGACGTGGAGGAGGTGTACTTCATTGACAAGCCTGTGCACTAGATAGCATAGGAAAGAAAGAGCAGGCAGTTGTATCATTTTGAAAAATAGTGCAATGGTAATAGCAACCCTATTTCTGAGCTGTGAACCCTGTGCTGTCACAGTAGGCCTTCGTTTGACACAAAGCCATCAGGGTAGCTGCCTCGCGAAAAATGTGCCCTCATAATAGAGGGGCAAATTTTTTTAACGGAATCAGGGAGCCCCAAAACGAAACGTCAGCCCTGCACTGATATTTCAGAGCTAAGTGGTGTAGTAACACTGATGATATTGAGTTAGATCTTACGAGGTATAGCAAGATCACTCGAGTAAAATGTGCTCTCCTTCAGATATGCTCACATCGCGTCACGAACTTGGTTTCTTCGCGGAGATCTCGCCACAACTCACTACAACACCAACAACTAATTTGTGCGGAATACTTTATCGTATGTTTGAACACTTACTAGAAAGAGTAGTTTTTGTGATCTACCCTGACAGAAAAAGGTGAAAGCGGGGCGTTGGCCTTACACGAAAGAGCATCTCAAAACCTATCCAAGGCCCTGCTGCATATACATCTTATAAACGGGAGGAAAGCATTGAAGTAGCCTAGGAATCAATGTCGAGAGAATCGAGTGTGATCGGAGGTGCAAAGAGAAACCTAGAAAGTGTTGTACCCTCTAAAGGCAACTCACTTAGCCTAACAAAGCATATAAACATTATTTGGCACAACCCCATAGGCTAAGTGAGGTGCATCCTGTCAAGAAGCTAGAGTAAGTTAGGCTTAGGAGCCATGGCTTGGGTAGCTTAGGAACTTAGGTTTAGGGTTGAACAAAACTAGCAAGAAAGTTAACCAAAGCAAAGAGGGCTTCAACATGGAATTGCAGATACAAATAGATGAGAAACATGCAAGGAGTGGTGCACCACCAAACAGGACAGCTATGTAACTACATTACAGCTAGAACTATATGCACTTATACAGAACTATAAAGTATATTCTGACACACCCCCTAAGTGCATGCAGAAATAGCCATGTGCAGAACACCCCTTGAAGTGGTACACCCTGTAGGGCACAACAGAAGAAGAGGGCAAGTGAGGAGGAGGAGGGACTATGAGAGGAGAGGAGGTGGTAGGCGGCTGCTGAAGCTGCTGGCACACGGCGCAACTGGAGCAACTGGCACATGGGCAACTCGAGCAACTAGCACACTAGCAACTGGAGCAACTGGCACACACGCGATTGGAGCAACTGGCTCACGGGCAACTAGAGCTGCTGGCTTCACGGCGGCCACCCCCCTTCAACCCCCCATTTTCCCAAAAATCCCTTTCACACCCCTCGGCATCCCTACCGCCACTCCATCGTCTCCCCCACCCACCCCCCCCCCCCACAGCGGCATGTGCGGCAGTGGGAGAGAGAGGAGGAGGGGCGGCAGCAGATTACTGACACCCGCCAACCCCATACCCTCCCCCCAACTGCTACACGCGCAGAAGGGAGATGAAGGAGAAGGGGGGGGGGCGGGGTAGGAGATGCGCAGGCGACAGCAGGGCGCGCTAGCGGGCAGAAACCGTCGTGAGTCCAAGGCGCGCGACGGGCAGAAACCGCCGCACGCCCGAGGCGCGCGGCGGGCAGGAGTTGCGCGCCTCGGGGCGCACGACGGGCAAGAAACCGTCGCGCGCCTCGGGGCACACGATGAGCAGAAACCGCAGCACGCCCGAGGCGCATGACGAGCAGAAACAGTCGCGCGCGCGTGGCGCACGACGAGCAGGAAACCGGCGCACGCCCGGGGCGCGCGACGGGCAGAAAATAGGCGCATTGGCGATGGGCCCATTAGGTCTTAGGAGCTTCATCGCTTTGATAACATGTCAAGAAGCTAGATTACCGTAAGTTAGGCTTAGGAGCCATGGCTTGGATAGCTTAGGAACTTACGGTACCCAAGCCATGGCAGAGCACAGGCAGAGCAAGCAGCAAGAAACAATGCTACAACAACCTAGCACCAGTCGTCAGTCTCGGGGTGCTGCTCGCTCCACCCTTTCACGAAGTTGTTGGGAGACTCGGTTGCCCCAGTTGGTTCTAATGGAAAGAAATGTGACCATCACACGGATGCCTTCTTCAATCGCCCCTAGGTAGGAAAGAGGAGCTTATGGTTGAACCATAATCAGTATCGTGACCAAGTGCGCGAAGCATACGAGCGTACATACCGTTGCCATGGCGGTTTCGCGGCCTTGGTCCGATTCCTCGTCCTTCCACAAATCGAGACGCTGTTTGTGACGCTTCATTATCTGTACATCGGTGTTTCTTTTGTTCGTACAATGGCAAATCTGCTTTAAAAGAACGTTGTGCAAGTGCTCAATTAGGTTCGTGCTAACCACCCGTTCTAATGGATGAAACAAAATGCCGCATCAGGTGGGTTTTGATCAGGTTCCATTCTGAGTTCCGTCTTTCACCAACAGCTTTACAAGCCTGTGTCAAGAGGGGGAGAATGAAAAAAAGACCAGCCATTAATATGAGGCCTAGAAGATGTACTCCAACACCCCCTCATTCAGCCGCTAACACACTTACACAAGTAGTCTTTGCGTGCGCACTGTCGTGCATGCCCACTTTCCGCTCTAGCTCTCGTAGGCTGCCCTTAGTGTGAAGGGGGCTGTTGCAGTAGCTATACCAATCAAGGTAAGCTCGTATCGCCTCGAGTTGTTCCGCATATAGAATATCTGCCACTAAGAAAATTAACACATGCAACGATGTGGATGTGGAATGGGTTTGAGTAAGGACAAAGGGGCTCAAAAGCCTAGCCGCGCACATTGCCATGGGTTGTGAGAAAGGGAGAGCTGTGGGATGTTGCGGGGATATTACAGGGATGGGAGAAAGGAGACTCATAGGCCTGCGCAAGCACATTAAGGGTAAGGGGAGGGAGAGATGGGGAGAGCCGTGGGATGTTGGGGGGATATGACATGGGTGGGAGAAAGGAGAGGCAAGCTTTGTTGATGTAAGTAGGGGTGCCACCGCACCATGCAGAACGTAAGAGAGAAAGGGCAGGGTGGTGAGATGTGGAGTAAATGGGACCCCGGTTGGTTACACTATCGTTAAACTCATGAATGTAGGGGACAAGGCCTGACTTCAAGGCAAAAAAGGGTGGGACAAATGTGAGGAAGAATTTCGGTGGAACAATGCTTGGGGGGTAAAATGGTTGTAAGGTCTTGAGAGAGGTGGCACTAAGGTAAAAAAGCAAGTAGATAGAGCATAACGGAGGGAATGAGGAGGCATGCATGTCAAAACTGGTTTGCATACTAAAAATACATGGCTGGCCCAAAGACTTACCTGCATGACCGTCCTATGTAGGAATGCTGGGACCATTGCCTTGTTTTCAAAGTATTCCTTCTCCGGAAACCGCATCGAGCTGATGCGAGTTGGTTTTTGGACTGTTTTAAGCCTCCTGTTGTCGGGGATTGAATAAGTGGTTGCTAGTATACTACAAACCCAATCCATAATAAGTGCCAAAACCAATTGAGTGCTGGTTGCAAGATGCATCCTGCCATCGCAAGATCCCCTGCCCATTGACTAGGACATACTTATCAAGCTTCTTCACCACCCTCGGCACTGCTTTGTGAATGCACTTGATAATGTGGTCCAGGATCCCCAAATCCGATATATGCATGATATCCGGCATAACTGCTAGATAAGGGTTTGCCCATGGTTGCCCATTGCCACAGTGCGCACTGTTAAAAAATGTGGAGCAGTATAGGGTTCAATGGATGTTTTTTAAGCACTACCGAAATGACCATGCATAAGCATACAACATTACATGGTCAACACAAGTTACAACGTTGCATGAATCTCAAATTGCTCAGAACCAACACCATACGGAACCACTGATACTGTCTAAAAAACGGAGTAAGACTACGATGCAACTTGTAGGGCCCTAGTAAAGCTCACCTCAGCGTCGAACGTCAAATACTTTGATAGAGTGTTGTCATCATCATATGCTTCCCCCTCCGCCTAAGACAACACCCACTGTTGCTGTTATGGAGTGCAAACAATGTGTTCCATGTTGATTGATGAAAGATTGTTCTGCCGCAATAAAAAAAACATGCCGACAAAAGTGCGGCCACAGTTTGGCCTAGAGAGGATAGGAGACCATGGTACAAAGGAAAAGATTGAGACATGCCATAGTGAGAATAGGAGGCTCTGTGAAAGAGAACCCATTTACCACCGGCTCCCACACCTATGTTAGGTAGGAAGGGGAGTGGGGATCCGAATTTGGAGATGCTAAGGGCTGGTGGGAGCACGTGCGGCACCCTCGCTTTGAAAGGGATCTCGTTCCCCCCCTGCACGACACCTGTGGGGCCGAGGGGGATAAGGTTGAGGTAGGAAAGAATGGGGATGAGGATTTTAGGTTGCTATTGGCTGGTGGCAGCACGTGCATCACTGGCACTTTGAAAGGGAACCCGTTTGCCCCTTCCTCCACACTTGGGTGGCAGACGGAAGATGGAGCGGAGGGAGAGAGGGGGATGGGCGTGAGGATTTGTAGCTGTCCATTCGGCAGCTAAGCGTTGCGCTGGAACACCAACTCGCTAAATTACCAGAGATTACACCCTATCCACGTAGCAAATGCTGCATGGCTTCATGCAGCGCTGGCCAGAGAGTGTGCATGTCAATTTGCCCGATTCTGGGTAGTCACATGCCCACCCGAGCATCAGCGGTATCACCTTATGCTTGACACCGTTCGCATCCTTCAGGAGTACACCCCTGCATAGCATATGATGCACAAAAATACGAGAGTTGGTCCGAGACTAGACAGGAGCCTCATGTCCTGGGGGGAGCAAACTACCATCAGACTGTAGATAAGTACACACTTATGATTATGCAAAACATCTCATCTTACATTTCTTTCAGTTGAACCAGAGGTTACATCAACTTGGCCACGCAGGTGTTGAAGATTTTTGCACATGCCAGCTTCCATCGCTGACTCTTTCCCTCCCATGATTTCAGAATTTTTTTCATGCGACGTGAACGTCTCCAGTCCCCGTGGCAGGTCGGCTGCCTGGCGCATCAGTTCCCGCTTGAACTGATCCATCTCTGTGAGTATCAGCCCCATCTTCTTGGCAGCCAGGCAGGTAAGCATCATTTCTGGGTTTTTCGCACCCACTCCCCCTTCCATCTCTGGTGTGATCAGGAGCTCCTTGCTCCAGAAGTGAAAACATTTTTCTGACGTGACCTTGTTCTCGTGTTGGTATGCATGCCCTTCACCCAGCCAATGTATCGAGTCGGGAAGCCCATTTTCTCCATCACTTCGAAAATGAAGTTTCGGGACACCGAGTCGAACGCTTTTTTGAAAGCAACAAGCAGCATGAACCAGTCCTCCTTCCCGTTCTTGGCTGCATCAATGATATCAGCAACCAGCCCCACCGCGTCTGTTATTCTCCTTCCCAAGATGAAACTAAACTGTTCCCATGAGATCACCTTGTGAAGGACCTTCTTAATCCTGCCTGCCAAGACCCGCGCCATAATTTTGTAGCTAATGTTCAGCAATGTTATAGGGCGGTAGTTCTCAAACTGCTCTATCGCTCCCTTCTTGTGCAGGAGGATCGTCACCGCATCTTTGACGCTGGTCGGGAGCGAAGAGGTGAGGGTGAAATCCCGAACCAGGCCCATTACATGTTTCCCAAGCGTGTCCCAGTGCAGCTCGAAAACCTCCTTCGGCAGCTCGTCTTTCCCTGGTATTTTGTTGCACGACATTTCTTTTAACGCCTGCTTAACTTCTTTCTCCGTCCACTCCTTTTGCAGATTCTCTATATCAATGTACGTCAACTGTTTTCCCACGACCCGTTTCCAGTCCGAGATTGCTGTGTGCTTATCCTCCCCAAAGAGACTGCGGAAGTAGTCCGACGCTGCTTCCAGGATTCGCTTTGGTTCTGACACCATTCCTCCCGGGACCGCTACCTTCGCTATTCGAGTCCTGGTTTTCCGCGTCTTTATCCTCGCCGACAAATGCGGTGACGGAACTTCTCCCGATAACGCCAGCTCCATTCCAGCCATGGTATGCATCCTGTCCCTCCGACACGCAATGTCGAAGGAAATGGCCCCGCCCTCGCTTGAGCGTAGCTGATCTCGCTGTAGACGGGAAGTTCGCGACGGAACGGTTGACGAAATGGGCTTCTGCAGTTCGGCGGAAGTTGCGGTCGAGCAGGCTCTGCTCGACGGAATCTGGTCGACGAACTCTGCGCGATGAGCTCTGGTCGACGATCTCTGCGCGGCGAGCTTCCGTCGAAGAGCGCTGGTCGAAGAACTCTGGTCGAAGAGTTCTGGTCGAGAAGTTCTGCTCGGCGGATTCTGTTCGACCGAGCAGAGTCGAGCTGATCGACCGAAGTTGCAGAGTTGCGCGAAACTCTGCGAAGGCGTGCGAACATTCGCCCAGGAGATTTTGGCGAAGTTCTACCTGCGGAACGGCATCACGTGGTCGACGGTGCGCACCTGGCGAAACCGACGACACGTTTTCTACCTGGCACCTGCGCAATGTGCCTGACGGTGAAACCGCCAACCTGCACCTACTTGGTAGGTGCGCACATCTGCGCAGATAGACAATCTGCGGCCGTAGAAAGTTACATGCGATTGCAGGTAGTCACCTGCGACTGCAGCGTTGGCGAGCCGCGCTTCTGCTGCGCTGGCAGAGTTCGCCCTTGCTAGGAGTTCCATGCCATTCTAGTCTTTTGTTCTGCATGCCTCAATTGTACTCTATTCTTTCCTATCAACTTTGTTAATGCAAGTTGTTCTTTCCTTAGTGGAATTCTTGCCAAACTTCTCAGTGAACATAGCAAGCAGTAAGAACGCTAGCAGAGCGCTACGATCACTCGCACAACCCCGTGCCCTCCTCCGTAGTCCACTCCCGTTGTGTAGTGACTCTCCGCATGGTGCGGTGAGCGTGGACGGCCCCGCGTTAGAACCTTCAGATTAGCCGACTCTTGCGTTACTTACCTAAGTTGTAGTAGGCCGGCAGTCTAAACCGCCATGGTCGACCAGGAGGAGGTCGCTGCAGGCGTAGAGGATACCCTGCAGGCGCGGTTAGAAGACGTTCGGGCACGCCACGCAGCTGGCGAGTACGGCGGAGCAACCTTGGAGGTTATGCTCTTTGGAACCCGCGTGCAGTGGGCGCGCGAGCACCCAACGACCCGTACTGAGGCGGATGGACTGCCCGCCACTCCCCGACCGGCACGCAACGAAGGCGGCGTCGACGACCAGGTCGACGGCGGTGACCAAGTCGGCAGTGAAGGAGGCAGCACGAGGCTTTGTGGAGTGATTCGGGCCGCTGACGTCGGTGTCGGCGGAATGCAGGCGCGATTTCAGCGCTCGGCGGTAGCGGGAAGCTCGAACGGCAACGCCAATGGCCGAAGTCAATCTCCCCTACGGAGTGGAGTCAGACCAACTTCGGCAACTCATGCGTCGGCCGGTCGGGACGGAGGCATCGCGCCGGCGTACGGATATTTCAAGTTTTCGCCGAACAAGATTGCTGTGCTGAAGCTGCTCGAAGGTCGCCACGACTTGATCACATGGATTGAGTCCATCGAGCCGCAGCTGGAGATCGCCGGATTGAAGAAGTTCGTCGACGGCAATGTTGCGACGCCGGACGCAGACGACTCTGAACTCTGGGCGGAATTTCGCGCTGCTCATCTACTAACCTTCATGGTCATTTCGAGGTGTTGTTCGCCTCTGGTGCAGGTCGCATTGACGTCGTGCAGACAACAGGTGGATGCTGGCTACCAAGCGTGGCAGTACATTATGTGCACCTACAAAGCGACGGACGACCTCTACATAAGCCAGCTGGAGAGGAAATTGGCCAACCTTCGGATGGGCGAGCAGGAATCGGCGACCGAGTACTGCAATCGAGCGCGGCGAATTTTGGCCGACATGCGGATGGCTGGCTTCTAGTACTCGGCGGCGTCACGCATGTCCTCAATGGCCTCCCCTCGGGCTACAATCTGCTGCGTCGGATGCTGACGATGCCTGGCGCGCGTGAGTTGTCGAACATTGCATGTTTATGTTGTGTAGGCTGTAGTGGGTTTGACCTTAGGGGGTACACAAAGTTAGGGTTTCCTACTTGTACCCACCTTGCTGTTAGTTCATTCATTCCTGGTTCAGGTATTCTGACATGGTTTCAGAGCAGGTCCTTCGCTAGGACCTAAGTTTTTTTTTCGGGCCCACCACTACTACTGACTGCCTACTAGCGCCCTCGTGCGCCCTACTGCAGGAGCGCTCCCTAGCGACTCCTCCCCAGCGCCCTAGTGCACCTTTTTAACGGCCCCTTAAGGCCCCGTCGACCCCGCGCGCCGCCCCTTAGCGACCCGCGCGCCGCCCCTTAAGGCCCCGTCGACCCCGCGCGCCGCCCCTTAGAGGCCCCGCTGGCCCCGTCGACCCCGCGCGTGCCCCGCGTAGAGGCTCCGCTGGCCCCGTCGACCTCGCGAGCGCCCCGCTTAGAGGCCCCGCTGGCCCCGTCGACCCCGCGCGCGCCCCGCTTAGAGGCCCCGCTGGCCCCGTCTACCGCGCGCGCCTCCCCTTTAGCGGCCCCGTCGACCCCACGCGCCGCCCCTTAGCGGCCCCGTCGACCCTACCCACCGCCCCTTAACGCCCCGCACGCGACAGCCACGGCCCCGCCAGAACTAGGCCGCCCAAACAGAACCGCCCGAACCGAGCCGCCCAGTTCGATCCGAGCCGCGCCGCCCTACCTGAACCGAGCCGCGCCGCACGTACTGAGCAGCTTCTCTGGACCGAGCCACCCTACCTGCGTCGCGCTGCCTACTGCGTTTAGGGTGCTCTTACTGCTGCTACTACTGCAACTATGGCTAGTCCTCCTGCACTAGCTTTCGATGCTGAGGGCCGCCCAGTGAAATTTGACACCTGGCTAGATGACCTGCACCTCTTCCTACAGCTCACTGCCAAGGAGGACATCTCACTGTACGATCATGCCCTCGGCCATTCTACTGCCCCTGATGCTACTGCTGACAGTACTGTCCGCTCACAGTGGCAGACTCGTGACGCCCACGCTCGCTTCGCTATTCGCAACTCCCTGCCGATAGATGAACGCGAGCACTTTGGCCAGCACAAGACTGCTAAGGAACTGTACACTGCTGTCGTTGCCCGCTACTCCTCACCTGCTTCTGCCGCACTAGGCCGCCTCTCACTCCCCTACCTGTTCCCCGACCTGGCCTCCTTTCACACAGTTGCTGACCTCATCACCCACCTCAAGACTAGTGAGGCCCGCTTCCGTGCCGCTATGCCCGATGAGTTCCTTGCTACGAACCCCCCCCCGCTCTGGATCACTCTCTACCACATAGTCACCCGCCTCCCTGACTCTCTGCGTGCAGTCAGGGATCACTTCCTAGCTCGCTGCCCCACTGAGCTCACCATAGCCCTCCTCGAGAAGGAACTACTTGCAGCTGAGGCTAGCATAGTCGCTGTAGGTGCCTCTCGTGGCGACCCCCGCACCCCTTTCTTTGAGGGGTGTTCCCCTTCCCCCCTTCTTCCTTCTGCAGCCTCTGCTTCTGCTGTCGACCTCCTTGGTGCTGAGAAAGTCGGGGCTGCGTCTGCTCTGAGCTGGCACCGCAGGAGCAAAGGGGGAAAGGGAGGCAGAGGTGACGGCGGAGGAGGCGGTGGTGGAGGCGGTGGCGGCGGTGGGGGTGGTGGTGGGGCTGGAGGGACTAGTGGCAGCGGTGGGGGTGGTGACGGCAGCGGCGGGGGCGGTGGCAGGGGCGGGGGCGGTGGTGGAGGCGGCGGTGGTCGCAGCGGCGGCAGGGGAGGGGGTGGTCGAGGAGGTGGCGGCGGCGGTGGTGGTCGTGGAGGCGCTGGCGGTGGCCAGAGCCAGCAGCACACTCCGTCGCTCCAGGAGGCCCGTGAGTGGTACTCTCAGCACGGGGGGGGGGGGGGGGGGCGGGTGGCTTTACCTGCACGTACGTCATCCGCACTGGTGACCGCACTGGTCAGACGTGTGGGAGGCCGCACCCCACGCAGCGCTGTTTCTCTCGCCTTGACGACGCTTGGCGTACTCAGTTCCCTGATGCCACTGAGCTGCCCCGCTGGGCTGATCTGATGAGGAAGGGAGTTGATATCTATGCACTAGACTTTGATGCTATTCTCACTGCCATGTATGTGATGTTTACTAGTGGAGAGGGTGCTCAGTACCTGCGTGTTCCGCCCGACCCGGGCATTCGGACCAGTGAGGCTGCCGCTCTAGGTGCTAGTGAGACTGCCACTCCAGGTACTCGCGTGTCTGCTACCTCAGGTGCTGGTGAGGCTGCTGCTCTAGGTGCTCGTGAGTCTGTGCCCCCTGGTACTGAGTCGACTGCGGCACTGCACACCTTCACACTGGACTCAGGTGCTTCTCGCTGTTTCTTTCGTGACCGCACTGTCCTTGAGCCACTCGCTCGGCCAGTTGTTGTCTCCCTCGCTGACCCCTCTGGGGGTCCGGTCATTGCGACCTCCTCCACTGTCCTTCCTTGTCCTGCGGTCCCGTCGGGCACACTGTCAGGTCTCCACCTCCCCTCGTTCTCTACGAACTTGGTGGCGGGTTGTGCGCTCCAGGACGGGGGTGTTCACCAGTTCACCCCTGCCTACGAGCGCGTGACACACTGCACGTGTGCTCGGACGGGCCGTCACCTGGCTACCTTCACTCGGCAGCCGGGGTCGGACCTGTACACACTGACCACTGAGTCCCCTCAGGTAGCTGCGTCTGCGTCTGCGTCAGGTCAGCTGTCGGCCCCCTGCTCGTGTCGCTCTCTGGCGCACGACACCGTCCTCTGGCACCACCGACTTGGTCACCCGTCTGTGCAGCGCCTTCGTGCCATGCACAAGCGGTACCTTGTCTCTGGTCTTCCCAGGGTTCTCCCTCCCCTCCCACCCTCGCCTGCTCCTCCCTGTCTTCCCTGTGTCGAGGGGCGGCAGCGCGCCGCCCCTCATTCCTCCTCGTTTCCCCTGACGACTGCTCCCTTGCAGACGCTCCACATGGACGTGTGGGGCCCAGCCCGCGTCCGTGGACAGGGTCAGGAGAGGTACTTCCTGATCGTTGTTGACGACTACTCGCGCTACACCACGGTCTTCCCCTTGCGCACCAAGGGTGAGGTCCCTGATGTCTTGATCCCTTGGATCAGCAGAGCTCGTCTCCAGCTCAGCGAGCGTTTCCGCTCGGACTTTCCTGTCCTGCGCTTGCACTCTGACAGAGGTGGTGAGTTCTCCTCCGACCTCCTGGCAGCCTACTGTGCGGAGCACGGCATTGAGCAGTCGTTCACGCTTCCGGCCTCTCCACAGCAGAATGAGGTTGCTGAGCGCCGCATTGGCTTGGTCATGGAGGTCGCTCGTACCTCCTTGATCCATGCGGCTGCCCCCCACTTTCTGTGGCCGTTTGCGGTCCGATACGCTGCGCATCAGCTCAACCTCTGGCCCCGTGTCTCCTTGCCGGAGACTTCCCCGACACTGCGTTGGACGGGAGAGGTTGGCGATGCGTCGCGCTTTCGGGTCTGGGGATCCCGAGCTTTTGTTCGCGATACGTCCGCGGACAAGCTCTCCTCTCGCGCTAATCCTTGTGTCTTCCTTGGCTTTGTCCCGGACGCGCCTGGTTGGCAGTTTTACCACGCCACCTCGCGCCGTGTCCTGTCCTCTCAGGACGTCACTTTTGACGAGTCCGTCCCCTTCTACTGCCTCTTCCCCTATAGCACTGCCCCGCTCCCCCCCCCGCCGCTCTTCCTCGCTCCAGGTGCTGCTGTACTAGACCCCCTCCCCCCTCAGGGTGCCGCTCCCTCAGGTGTGTCCCAGGTAGACCCGGTTGAGCCTGTCGAGGTAGCTGTCGACTCTCGTCCTGCTTGGGGTACTGAGCCTGCGGGTGCTGAGCGTGAGGGTGCTGAGCCTGAGTGTGCGGAGCCTGAGGGTGCGGAGCCTGGGGGTGCGGAGCCTGGGGGTGCGGAGTCTGGGGGTGCGGAGCCTGGGGGTGCGGAGTCTGGGGGTGCTGAGCCTGGGGTTGCGGAGTCTGGGGGTGCTGAGCCTGGGGGTGCTGAGCCTGGAGGTGCTGAGCCTGGGGGTACTGAGTCTGAGAGTGCTGAGTCTGGAGGTGCTGAGCCTGGGAGTGCTCCACCTGGAGGAGCCCTCTCCTCACAGCAGCTGCAGGAGAGGTACTTACAGTACTGCAGCCTCAGGAGAGGTGCTTCTGGAGCCAGGAGTGCTGCTGGAGCTGGTACTAGTGCTTCCCCTCCTGGCCGGGAGCTGCCCTCCCTTCAGCGGATCCGAGAGTGGTACACGCGGCGCTGTAGCCTTCGGAGTGGCTCTCCTGGTGTCACGGACCCTGGTGCTGCAGGTACTGCTGCTGCTGGCGGTGCTGCTGGTGGTGGAGCTACTGGAGGTGCTGCTACTGGCGGTATTGCTAGCACTACTGGTGGTGCTACTGGTGCCGCTTGTGGGAGCTGCTGCTGGTACTGCGGACCCTGGAGTTGGAGGTACTGCTAGTGTTGCGGACCCTGGAGTTGGAGCTGTGGCTGGTGCTGAGGACCCGGGCGTTGGAGCTGCTGCTGGTGCTGCGGACCCTGGAGTTGGAGCTGCTGCTGGTGCTGCGGACCCTGGAGTTGGAGCTGTGGCTAGTGCTGAGGACCCGGGCGTTGGAGCTGCTGCTGGTGCTGCGGACCCTGGAGTTGGAGCTGCTGCTGGTGCTGCGGACCCTGGAGTTGGAGCTGCTGCTGGTGCTGAGGACCCGGGCGTTGGAGCTGCTGCTGGTGCTCCGGACGCTGGAGCTGCTGCTGGTGCTGAGGACCCGGGCGTTGGAGCTGCTGCTGGTGCTGCGGACCCTGGAGTTGGAGCCGCTGCTGGTGCTGCGGACCCGGACGTTGGAGCCTCGGGAGCTGGAGCTGCTGCTGGTGCTGAGGACCCTGGCGCTGGTGTCTCTGCTGGTTCTGGAGACGCTGCGCGGCTGCGACCGTACTTCGTGCCGCTCCTTCAGCAGGTTCTTGGTCAGACTCCTCCTCCTTGTCCTCCTCCCTCCTTAGAGTGTCCTCTGCCTGTCCAGCCGCAGTCACAGTTACCGCCTGCCTCGCCTCTCCCTGGTCCTTCTCCTTACACTGGTCCCACAGGAGGTCTTACGGAGCGTCGTGAGCCTGAGTCTCGTCCTGTGTCGCCTGCGTCTCGCTCTGCGTCGCCTGTTCGTGCTGCTCGCACTGGTCGTCGTGTCCCACGTGAGCGTCCTCCTCCTGTCCCTGGCACTCACTACATGACTCTGCGTCCCTCCACTGCTCCTCAGCGTGTCCCTCTGCCGTCTCCTCCTGCGTCCTCTCTTCCTACTCTTCCTGACCCGGAGTCTGACTCCCTTCGTGCTGCCAGTCCTGTTAAATTGTAATGTGTTATATGTTGGTAGGCTGTAGTGGGGTAGCCAATATGGGGTACAACCCCAACTAGGGTTTGCTACTTGTACCCAACTGTTTCATTCAATGCATCATTCTTGCCTAGTTCTTTTCACATGGTATTCAGAGCAGGAGGTCCCTAGGACCTACCGACCGTTTTTTTTTTAAGGGCCCACCACCGCTCGCATGCGGTTACCACGCTACCCCGTGCCCTAGCCTCGTAGCGCCCTCGTGCGCCCTCGTTAGCGCCCTCGTGCGTCCTCGTTAGCGCCCTCGCGCGCCCTCGTTAGCGCCCTCGCGCGCCCTCACTAGCGCCCTCGTGCGCCTCTCGTTAGCGCCCTCGCGCGCCCCTCGCAGCGTCGCCCGCCCGCCGAGCCGCCCGCTCGCAGCGTCGCCCGCCTACCGCGCTGCCCGTTTCGCAGCCCGCCCGCCGCGCTGCCTGCTCGCAGCGTCGCCCGCCCGCCCGCTGCCCGCTTGCAGCGTCGCCCGCCCGCCTCGCTGCCCGCTTGCAGCGTCGCCCGCCCGCCCGCTGCCCGTTTCGCGGCGTCGCCCGCCCGCCGCGCTGCCCGCTCGCAGCGTCGCCCGCCCGCCTCGCTGCCCGCTTGCAGCGTCGCTCGCCCGCCCGCTGCCCGTTTCGTCGCCCGCCCGCCTCGCTGCCCGCTTGCAGCATCGCCCGCCCGCCCGCTGCCCGTTTCGCAGCCCGCCCGCCGCGCTGCCTGCTCGCAGCGTCGCCCGCCCGCCCGCTGCCCGCTTGCAGCGTCGCCCGCCCGCCCGCTACCTGCTTCGCAGCCCGCCCGCCGCGCTGCCCGCTCGCCGCGTCGCCCGCTCGCCCCGCTGCCCGCTTCGCAGCCCGCCCGCCGCACTTCCCGCCTGCAGCGCCGCCTGCCCACCGCGCTGCCCGCTTCGTAGCCCGCCCCCCGCACTGCCCGCTCGCCGCGTCGCCCGCCCGCCGCGCTTCCCGCCGAGCTACCTACCTGCAGCGCTGTGGCAGCTTCCTTTGCTCAGTCGCACTGTCGCTATGGCTTCCATCCGCGTGCTGTCGTTCGATGCTGAGGGCCGCCCTGTGAAGTTCGCCACTTGGCTGGATGACCTGCAGCTGTTCCTTCTGAGCGATAGCAAGGAGCATGTGTCGCTCTATGATTACGCGTCTGGTGCTGCACCTGCCCCCCCTGCCACAGCTGAGCTTAGTGTTCGTTCCCACTGGCAGACTCGTGACGCAGCTGCTCGCCTAGCCATTCGCAGTCACCTGCCGCTAGCTGAGCTCGAGCATTTTGGCGACTGCAAATCCGCTAAGGCCCTGTACGATGCTGTCGTTGCTCGCTACTCCTCGCCTGCCACAGCCGAGCTTAGCCGCCTCATGCTGCCGTACCTGTTCCCTGATCTGTCCACCTTTGCTACAGTCGCCGATCTTATCACCCACCTTCGCACTAGTGATGCTCGCCTGCGTGCCGCCCTTCCCACCGAGTTCTGCGCTAAGAATCCCCCTCCACTGTACTGGACACTCCACTTCATAGTCACCCGTCTCCCTGACACCCTCAGCTCAGTTCGAGACCACTTCCTTGCTCGCTGTCCCACTGAGCTCACAGTCGCCCTCCTAGAGGAGCAGCTGCTCGCGGCCGAAAAGAGCATTGTAGCTGTCGGTGCTGCTCGTGGCGCTCCTCGCACCCCCATCTTTGAGGGGTGTTCTCCCTCTCCCCTCGCTCCCTCCTACGCTACTGCTGCTGCTGTTGACTTCCTTGGTGCTGAGTCTGCTGGCGCTGCTTCTGCTCCTGGTGGGAGGCGCCGCACCGGCAAGGGCAAGGGGGGCAAGGGTGGCGGGGGTGGCGCTGGGGGGGGAGGAGGTGGGGGAGGTGGGGGGGGAGGCGGTGCTGGAGGGAGCGGTGGCGGGAGTGCTGGTGGGAGTGGGGTCGGCAGCGGAGGCGGGGGCGGCGGAGGGAGCGGTGGCGGTGGTGGCGGCGGCGGCGGCGGCGGCGGCGGCGGCGGCGGCGGCGGCGGCGGTGGCGGCGGCGGCGGCGGCGGTGGCGGCGGCGGCGGTGGCGGTCGGAGCGGAGGTAGTGGTGGTGGCGGAGGTCGGAGTGGAGGAACTGGCTCGGGTCAAAGCTCCCAGCAGCAGCAGCGTCCCCAGACGACCCAGCAGCTTCGTGAGTGGCTTGCTCAGCGTGGGACGTCGGGGGGCAATGGCCGCTGTTCCTATGTCATTCGCACAGGTGACCGCAAGGGACAGACGTGTGGGAGGTTCCACACCCCGTACCGCTGCTTCTCCCGCCTTGACGACGCTTGGCGTGAGGAGATGGGCGAGGATGTTGAGCGCCCCCGCTGGGCTGAGCTCATGAGGGCTGGTGTTGATATCTTTGCTCTTGACTATGATGCTATTATTGCTGCCATGTATGCATTGACTGTTAGTGCCGAGGGAGACTGTTACTTGTGTGTGCCGCCTGACCCAGGTATAGAGCCCGCTGCCCTGGGTACTAGTGAGTCTGCTCTCTCTGGTATGGTGCCCCCTGTACCTGCTCCCTCCAGTGCTGTCCCCGCTGTTTGCGAGTCTGCTCTCTCAGGTACAGCACCCACAGAGACTGCTCTCTCAGGTACCGCACCGGCTGAGGCCTGTCACACCTTCACCCTTGACTCAGGTGCTTCCCGTTGTTTCTTTCGTGACAGTACTGAGCTCACACCGCTTCCTGCACCGGTCCCAGTCTCCTTGGCTGACCCCTCTGGGGGCCCAGTCCTTGCCCAGTCCACCACTGTGCTCCCTTGTCCGGCGGTTCCGTCTGGCTCGTTGTCGGGTTTCCACCTCCCCTCGTTCTCGACGAACCTGGTGAGCAACGCTGTCATCCAGGATCAGTGGGTTGACACCTTTACCCCTGGAGGACAGCGTGTGGCGATCTGCACGTGCTCCAGGACCGGCCGTCACCTGGCTACGTTTACCCGTCGGCCGGGGTCGAGTCTCTACACACTGACCACTGCGTCTCCTCAGGTCGCTGCTGTCGGTCAGGTGTCCGCGTCAGGTCTGGTGGCCCACGCCTGTGAGTGTCGTTCCCTGTCGCACCGGACTCTTCTCTGGCACCACCGCCTGGGTCACCCCTCCTTGCCACGCCTCCGTGGCATGCACCGTCACCGCCTTGTGTCTGGTCTTCCCAGGTCCCTCCCTCCCCTCCCTGCCTCGCCTGCACCGCCTTGCCTTCCTTGCGTCGAGGGGCGGCAGCGCGCCGCTCCTCACTCCTCCTCGTTCCCCCCGACAGAGGCTCCTCTGCAGACCCTCCACCTGGACGTGTGGGGCCCAGCCCGCGTTCGTGGCCAGGGCGGTGAGCGGTACTTTTTGCTGGTTGTCGACGACTACTCGCGTTACACCACGGTCTTCCCCTTGCGCACCAAGGGTGAGGTCCCTGCTGTTCTGATCCCTTGGATCCGCACAGTTCGTCTCCAGCTCCGCCGCCGTTTCCGGACGGATCTTCCTGCCCTGCGTCTGCACTCTGACAGAGGTGGTGAGTTTTCCTCCGATCTCTTGAGGACCTTCTGTCAGGCGGAGGGCATCGAGCAGACCTTCACGCTTCCGGACTCCCCACAGCAGAATGGGGTTGCTGAGCGCCGCATTGGCCTGGTCATGGAGGTCGCTCGTACCTCCTTGGTCCACGCGGCGGCTCCCCATTTTCTGTGGCCGTTTGCTGTCCGGTACGCCGCGCATCAGCTCAACCTCTGGCCCCGTGTCTCCTTGCCGGAGACCTCGCCCACACTGCGTTGGACGGGGGAGGTTGGCGATGCGTCGCGCTTCCGGGTGTGGGGTGCTCGTGCCCTTGTCCGCGATACGTCTGCGGACAAGCTCTCCTCCCGCACGCTTCCCTGTGTCTTCCTTGGCTTTGTCCCTGACGCGCCTGGCTGGCAGTTTTACCACCCCACCTCGCGCCGGGTCTTCGCCTCTCAGGACGTCACCTTTGACGAGTCGGTCCCTTTTTACCGTCTCTTCCCCTACCGCACTGCCCCCCTCCCTCCCCCGCCGCTGTTCCTTGCTCCTGGTCCCCCTCCGGTAGACCCCCTTCCCCCTCAGGGTCCTGCTCCTTCAGGTGTCTCTCAGGTAGACCCTCCTCCCGTCGCTGAGCCTGTCGAGGTCACAGGTGACTCAGGTGCTGCTGCAGGTGGTGCTGCTGGGAGTGCTGAGTCTGGGGGTGCTGAGCCTGCGGGTGCTGGGCCTGGGAGTGCTGGGACTGCGGGTGCTGGGGCTGAGGGTACTGTGCCTGAGAGTTCGGCGCCTGGGGGTGCTGTGCCTGGGGGTGCTGCGACTGGGAGTGCTGAGCCTGCGTGTGCGGAGTCTGGGGGTGCTGCGCCTGCGGGTACTGAGCCTGGGGGTGCTGCTACTGAGCCTACGGAGCCTCGGGTTGCTGCGTCTGGGGGTGCTCCGGTTCGGGGTGCTGAGCAGTCTCTCACACCGCAGCAGCTTCGTGACTGGTACGTCCGGCGCTTTCGCCGTCCTCGTGGCTCGGCTGGAGCTGGCGGTGCTAGCGGAGTTGGAGCTGCCGACTCTGGGGGTGCTCTTCCTAGCGGTGCTGCGGACCCTGGGGGTGGCGCTACTGCTGGTGCTGCGGACCCACCTGGTGGAGCTGCTGCTGGTGCTGAGGACCCGAGCGGTGGCGCTGCTGCTGGTGCTGAGGACTCGGACGTTGGAGCTGCTGCTGGAGCTGAGGACCCGAGCGGTGGCGCTGCTGCTGGTGCTGAGGACCCGGCCGTTGGAGCTCCTGCTGGTACTGAGGACCCGGCCGCTGGAGTCTCTTCTGCTTCTGGAGACGCTGCGCGGCCGCGACCGTACTTCGTACCGCTCCTTCAGCAGGTTCTTGGGCAGGCTCCTCCTCCTTGTCCTCCTCCCTCCGTAGAGTGTCCTCCGCCTGTCCAGCCGCAGTCACAGTTACCGCCTACCTCGCCTCTCCCTGCTCCCTCTCCTTACACTGGTCCCACAGGAGGTCTTACAGAGCGTCGTGAGCCTGCGTCTCGTCCTGCGTCGCCTGTTCGTACTGCTCGCACTGGTAGTCGTGTCCGTCGTGCTCGTCCTCCTCCTGTCCCAGGCACTCACTACATGACTCTGCGTCCATCTACTGCTCCTCAGCGTGTCCCTCTACCGTCTCCTCCTGCGTCCTCTTTGCCTGCCGTTCCGGACCCTGAGTCTGACCGGTATCGCACTGAGCACCCTACTGTCACACGTCTCCTAGCCACTGTTGTCACTGACCCTACCTTTGAGTCCTCAGCTGCGTCTGCTCTGGTCGCTGAGTTGGTTGACTTTGCTGCTGCCTGTCGTCTAGACTACGCTGCTAGCCTTGTTGCTGAGTCAGAGTCTGCGTCTGTCTGTCCTCCGTCCGTCGGGGGTGAGTGTGCTCTTGGCACGGACGTCCTTGAGGACAGGCAGGAGGACTTTGACTCTCTCGCGGCTGCTGTACCTCATCTCGTGGCCTGGTTGCTTGCCCCTGAGGGAGACCCGGATGCACTAGACATCCCCACTCCGCGCACTTACGCAGAGGCGATCTCAGGTCCCTACTCCTCTCAGTGGCAGACAGCCATGGACGCAGAGATGGCATCCTGGAAGTCCACAGGCACCTACGTCGACGAGGTTCCCCCTCCTGGGGCGAACATCGTCGACGGCATGTGGATTTTCAGGGTGAAGCGGCCACCAGGTTCTCCGCCTGTCTTCAAGGCTCGTTACGTTGCTAGAGGCTTCAGTCAGCGTCAGGGGGTCGACTTCTTCCAGACCTTCTCCCCCACCCCGAAGATGACCACTCTTCGGGTTCTGCTGCACGTTGCTGCTCAGCGTGACTACGAGCTTCACTCTCTTGACTTCAGCACAGCGTTCCTGCAGGGCAGCCTGCACGAGGAGATCTGGCTGCGCCGCCCACCTGGCTTTACTGGGTCGTTTCCTCCTGGTACCCAGTGGAGCCTCCGCCGGCCAGTCTACGGTCTCCGCCAGGCGCCACGTGAGTGGCACGACACACTGAGGACTACACTTGCGGCTCTTGGGTTCGCGCCGTCTACTGCTGACCCGTCGCTGTTTCTGCGCACAGACACGTCGCTGCCGCCGTTCTACATTCTCGTGTACGTCGACGACTTGGTCTTTGCTACTGCTGACACTGAGGCACTCGCTCGTGTGAAGTCGGAGCTGCAGAAGAGACACACCTGCACTGACCTGGGTGAACTGCGTAGCTACCTTGGCTTGCAGATCACCCGGGACAGAGCTCGCCGCACCATCACCCTGACTCATGTCAGAAATAACTGAGCAGGAATGGGATGAACTAGCACAGAGTTTGGTACAAGTAGGAAACCCTAACTTTGAGTACCCCCTAAGGTGTAACCCACTACAGCCTACATAATATAAACATGCAATGTTTGACACACCCCCATAGGCGCAGTGGGAGACAACCACAGGGTCACAAGACCAGTCAAAGCAAAGCAAAGCAAGCTCAGGGTGGATCTCAAGGATTCCACACAAATTCCGAGCACAAGCAAGCGGTCACAAGACCAGTTCACATGCAGGTTTATAACAAAGCAAGAGATACAGTGATCACAACCTAGCAAAAGTAAACAAGTAGGCATATATATATAGTGATCACAGTACAAGCAAGGTCAAGAGGTAAGCAAGTGAGGCCCAGTAGGTACAAGGCCTAGCAGCGTGCAAAAGCGCTGATGGTCACAAGGCTGAAGCGCCTTGGTGAACACATCAGCAGTGTTGGCCTCCGTGGCCACGTAACGCAGACAAAGCTGACCACGCTGCTGCAGCTCTCGAGCAAGGAAGTACCGCAGAGCGATGTGCTTCGTTCTGTGCTCCAGTCTGTGCTCCTCACACAAGGCAATAGCAGCCTTGTTGTCGACGTACAGCACTGGAGGAGAACGAGGCCGCTCTCCGAGGTCGGTCAGCAGGTAGGTCAGCCAGCGTAGCTCCTGAGCAGCCATGGCTGTGGCGTAGATCTCAGCCTCACAACTGGAGCTGAGAACAGAAGAAGAGCGAGTAGAACGCCAAGAAACTGAGCCAGAGCCAAGGCTGAAGGTGTAACCCTGGGACGACCGCTGAGTAGCCTGATCGTCTGCCCAAGAAGCGTCTGAGTGCCCTGTGAGAACAACCCGGTCTCGCCCTCCAAGCACAAGCCCCATGCCCGACGTACTGCACAAGTAGCGCAACACCCTCTTAGCAGCATCCATGTGCTCCTTCCGGTGACGGCCAGGAGCGACATAGCGTGCTAGGATGCTAAGAGGGTATGCAAGGTCAGGTCGAGTGCAGGTCATCAGGTACATGAGGCAGCCCACAAGCTCTGGATACGGGCCACTCGGCTCTACGGACTCATCCGAAGGCAGAGCTGAGAGCGAGTGACCGGTAGGCAGAGGAGTGGACTGAGGCGAGGAGTACGTGAAGCGGAAGCGCTGGAGAACCTGCTGCACCATGTGTGACTGAGTCAGGGTGATGGTGCGCCGTGCTCTGTCCCGGGTGATCCGCAAGCCAAGATAGCTCGTCAGCTCACCCAGGTCTGTGCACGTGTGTCTCCTCTGCAGCTCCGACTTCACGTGAGCGAGTGCCGCGGTGTCAGCAGTGGCAAAGACCAAGTCGTCGACGTACACGAGGATGTAGAACGGCGGCAGCGAGGTGTCGGTGCGTAGAAACAGCGACGGGTCAGCAGTAGAGGGAGCGAACCCAAGAGCCGCAAGTGTCGTCCTCAGTGTGTCGTGCCACTCACGTGGCGCCTGGCGGAGACCGTAGACCGGCCGCTGAAGCCTCCACTGGGTGCCAGGAGGAACTGACCCAGTGAAGCCAGGTAGGCGGCGCAGCCAGATCTCCTCGTGCAGGCTGCCCTGCAAGAAAGCAGTGCTGAAGTCAAGAGAGTGAAGCTCGTAGTCGCGGTGAGCGGCTATGTGCAGCAGCACCCGAAGAGTAGTCATCTTCGGGGTGGGGGAGAAGGTCTGAAAGAAGTCTACTCCCTCTCGCTGACTGAAGCCTCGAGCCACGTAGCGCGCCTTGAAGACAGGTGGAGAACCCGGCGGCCGCTTCACCCTGAAAATCCACATGCCACTGACGATGTTCGCCCAAGGAGGGGGAACCTCGTCTACGTAGGTGCCTGTGGACTTCCAGGAGGCCATCTCTGCGTCCATGGCTGTCTGCCACTGAGAGGAGTAGGGACCCGCCATCGCCTCAGCGTAAGAGCGTGGGGTCGGGATGTCTGGTGCATCCGGGTCTCCCTCAGGGGCAACTAGCAAGGACACGAGACGGGGCAAAGCAGCAGCAAGGCAGTGGAACTCCTCCTGTCTGTCCTCAAGGACGTCCGTGCCGAGGGCACACTCACCCCCGACGGACGGAGGACAGGCAGACGCAGACTCAGACCTAGCGACAAGGCTGGCAGCGTAGTCTAGGCGACAGCGAGCAGCAAAGTCAACCAACTCAGCGACCAGAGCAGACGCAGCAGAGGACTCAAAGGTCGGGTCAGTGACAACTGTAGCGAGGAGACGCGTAACAGTGGGACTGGCAGCACGACGGGAGTCAGACTCCGGGTCAGGAAGAGTAGGAAGAGAGGACGCAGGAGGAGACGGCAGCGGGACACGCTGCGGAGCAGTGGAGGGACGCAAAGTCATGTAGTGAGTGCCAGGGACAGGAGGAGGACGCTCACGTGGGACACGACGACTAGTGCGAGCAGTACGAACAGGCGACGCAGGACGAGACTCAGGCTCACGACGCTCTGTAAGACCTCCTGTGGGACCAGCGTAAGGGGAGGGAGCAGGGAGAGGCGAGGCAGGCGGTAACTGTGACTGCGGCTGGACAGGCAGAGGACACTCGACTGACGGAGGAGGACTAGGAGGAGGAGCCTGACCAAGAACCTGCTGAAGGAGCGGTACGAAGTACGGTCGCGGCCGCGCAGCGTCTCCAGAAGCAGCAGGGACACCAGTGGCAGCCCCAACGCCCGAGTCCTCAGCACCAGCAGCAGCTCCAACGCCCGGGTCCTCAGCACCAGTAGGAGCTCCAACGCCCGAGTCCTCAGCACCAGCAGCAGCGCCACCGGTCGGGTCCTCAGCACCAGCAGCAGCTCCAACGCCCGGGTCCTCAGCACCAGCAGCAGGGCCACTGGTCAGGTCCTCAGCACCAGCAGCAGCGCCACCGGTCGGGTCCTCAGCACCAGCAGCAGCTCCAACGCCCGGGTCCTCAGCACCAGCAGCAGCTCCAGCCCCCGGGTCCTCAGCACCAGCAGCAGCTCCAGCGTCCGGGTCCTCAGCACCAGCAACAGCACCACTACGAAGACTGCAGCGCCGCGTGTACCACTCGCGGATCACCTGAATGGGGGGGAGCTCCTGGGTAGGAGGGGAAGTACCGGGACGAGCTCCAGAAGCACCTCTCCGGAGGCGGCAGTACTCGAGGTACCTCTCCTGCAGCTGCTGGGAGGAGAGGGCTCCTCCAGGTGGAGCACGCTCAGGCTCAGCACCCCCAGACTCAGCACCCCCAGACTCAGCACCCCCAGTCTCAGCACGTCCAGACTCAGCACCCCCAGGCTCAGTACCTCCAGGCTCCGCACCTCCAGGCTCCGCACCTCCAGGCTCAGCACCCCCAGGCTCCGCACCTCCAGACTCAGCACCCCCAGGCTCCGCACCCTCAGACGCAGCACTCCCAGGCTCAGCACCCCCAGACGCAGGACGCGAGTCAACAGCTACCTCGACAGGCTCACCCGGGTCTACCTGGGACACACCTGAGGGAGCGGCACCCTGAGGGGGGAGGGGGTCTGGTACCTCAGCACCTGGAGCGAGGAAGAGAGGCGGGGGGGGGAGCGGGGCAGTGCGGTAGGGGAAGAGGCGGTAGAAGGGGACGGACTCGTCAAAAGTGACGTCCTGAGAGGCCAGAACCCGGCGCGAGGTGACGTGGTAAAACTGCCATCCAGGCGCGTCGGGAACAAAGCCAAGAAAGACACAGGGAACAGCGCGACGCGAGAGCTTGTCCGCGGACGTGTCGCGGACAAAAGCTCGAGATCCCCAGACCCGGAAACGCGACGCATCGCCAACCTCTCCCGTCCACCGTAGAGTCGGGGAAGTCTCCGGCAAGGAGACACGGGGCCAGAGGTTGAGCTGATGCGCTGCGTACCGGACCGCAAACGGCCATAGAAAGTGGGGAGCAGCCGCATGGGTCAGGGAGGTACGAGCGACCTCCATGACCAAGCCAATGCGGCGCTCAGCGACCCCATTCTGCTGTGGAGAGGCCGGAAGCGTGAACGACTGCTCAATGCCGTGCTCAGCACAGTAGGCTGCCAAGAGGTCGGAGGCGAACTCACCACCCCTGTCAGAGTGCAAGCGCAGGACAGGAAAGTCCGAGTGAAAGCGCTTGGCTAGCTGGAGACGGGCTCGGCTGATCCAGGGGATCAAAACACCAGGGACGTCACCCTTGGCGCGCAAGGGGAAGACCGTGGTGTAGCGCGAGTAGTCGTCAACAACTATCAGGAAGTACCTCTCCTGACCCTGACCACGGACGCGGGCTGGGCCCCACACGTCCATGTGGAGCGTCTGCAGGGGAGCGGTCGTCGGGGGAAAGGAGGAGGAGTGAGGAGCGGCGCGCTGCCGCCCCTCGACACAGGGAATGCAGTCAGGAGCAGGGGAGTCAGGAAGGGGAGGGAGCACCCTGGGAAGACCAGCAACAAGGTCCCGTTTGTGCATGGCCCGCAGGCGCTGCACAGACGGGTGACCAAGGCGGTGGTGCCAGAGGACGGTGTCGTTCGCCAGAGAGCGACACGAGCAGGGGGCGGACAGCTGACCTGACGCTGATGCAGACGCAGCTACCTGAGGGGACTCAGTGGTCAGTGTGTACAGGTCAGACCCCGGCTCTCGAGTGAAAGTAGCTAGGTGGCGGCCCGTCCGAGCACATGTGCAGTGAGTCACACGCTCGTAGGCAGGGGTGAACTGGTGAACACCCCCGTCCTGGAGTGCACTACCTGCCACCAAGTTCGTGGAGAACGAGGGGAGGTAGAGACCTGAGAGTGTGCCGGACGGAACCGCTGGACACGGAAGGGTGGTGGAGGAGGTCGCAAGGACCGGACCCCCAGAGGGGTCAGCAAGAGAGACAGCAACCGGCCGAGCTAGAGGCTCAAGGACAGTGCGGTCACGAAAGAAAGAGCGAGAAGCACCTGAGTCCAGTGTGAAGGTGTGCAGTGCTGCAGTCAACTCAGTACCAGGGGGCACAGACGCACAAGCACCTAGAGCAGCAGCTGCAGTAGTACCTGTGGGAGCAGACACACTAGCA